AAGCCTCTGTGTGAGCGCTGCTGTGTGGAAGCCTCTGTGTGAGTGCTGTGTGCAAGCCTCTGTGTGAGTGCTGCTGTGTGCAAGCATCTGTGTGAGTGAAGCTGTGTGCAAGCCTCTGTGTGAGCGCTGCTGTGTTGAAGCCTTTGTGTGAGCGCTGCTGTGTGCAAGCCTCTGTGTGAGCGCTGCTGTGTGCAAGCCTCTGAGTGAAGCTGTGCAAGCCTCTGTGTGAGCACTGCTGTGTGCAAGCCTCTGTGTGAGCGCTGCTGTGTGCAAGCCTCTGTGTGAGTGCTGCTGTGTGGAAGCCTCTGTGTGAGAGCTGCTGTGTGCAAGCCTCTGAGTGAAGCTGTGCAAGCCTCTGTGTGAGCACTGCTGTGTGGAAGCCTCTGTGTGAGTGAAGCTGTGTGTAAGCCTCTGTGTGAGCGCTGATGTGTGTAAGCCTCTGGGCGAAGCTGTGCAAGCCTCTGTGTGAGCACTGCTGTGTGCAAGCCTCTGTGTGAGCGCTGCTGTGTGCAAGCCTCTGGGTGAGCGCTTCTGTGTGCAAGCCTCTGTGTGAGTGAAGCTGTGTGCAAGCCTCTGTGTGAGTGAAGCTGTGTGCAAGCCTCTGTGTGAGTGAAGCTGTGTGCAAGCCTCTGTGTGAGCGCTGCTGTGTGCAAGCCTCTGTGTGAGCGCTGCGGTGGAAGCCTCTGTGTGAGCGCTGCTGTGTGGAAGCCTCTGTGTGAGCGCTGCTGTGTGGAAGCCTCTGTGTGAGCGCTGCTGTGTGCAGGCCTCTGTGTGAGCGCTGCTGTGTGCAAGCCTCTGTGTGAGTGCTGCTGTGGAAGCCTCTGTGTGAGCGCTGCTGTGTGGAAGCTCTGTGTGAGTGCTGCTGTGTGCAAGCTCTGTGTGAGTGCTGTGTGCAGGCCTCTGTGTGAGCGCTGCTGTGTGCAAGCCTCTGTGTGAGTGCTGCTGTGGAAGCCTCTGTGTGAGCGCTGCTGTGTGGAAGCTCTGTGTGAGTGCTGCTGTGTGCAAGCTCTGTGTGAGTGCTGTGTGCAAGCCTCTGTGTGAGTGCTGCTGCGGAAGCCTCTGTGTGAGCGCTGCTGAGTGCAAGTCTCTGTGTGAGCACTGCTGTGTGGAAGCCTCTGTGAGCGCTGCTGAGTGCAAGCCTCTGTGTGAGTGAAGCTGTGTGCAAGCCTCTGTGTGAGCGCTGCTGTGTGCAAGCTCTGCGTGAGCGCTGCTGTGTGCAAGCTCTGTGTGAGTGAAGCTGTGTGCAAGCCTCTGTGTGAGCTGCTGTCTGTGGAGCTGTGAGTGGGCAGCTGCTGAGAGGAAGAGCTGCCGCAGGCAGGTCAGCAAGGTGTAAAGCAGATAGGGGAAGTTGGTTAACAAAGTGACCGTATAGACAGAGATAGGAGTGCATACAACTGGTGCAAGAGTAATAAAGTGTACGCAGGTGACTTGGAACGTGTCCGACTGAGTGATTCTACACAACACTATAATAGCACTGGCTCTTCTCAGCGGCATATTTGGGCATACCCACACACGCGGACATTTCCCTCACCGCTACGACCAAGGAACGCATGTTGCAATAATCTGTGGGTAGCAATGGGCTAAATTTCAGTGGACATCGCAAATACCAGTCTGAAGCCTGAATATTTAAGCACAGCCGTTTCCAACGTGCAAAGTTATTCAAATGTCTAAATCCTAAAAGCAGTAACCATGTCTCCAGCGATCCAATAAAATGCAGGTGCATAATGGCCGTGGCCTTTACATTTTAAATAACGTTGCATCAAGCATGTAGCCCGTATTCAAGGTGTTCCCTTTAAAATGCACATCATCCCACAATTATGTGAAGATTGCACGCACCTTTGTAGTTTAGTAGGTCTCATCGCATGCAATACATTTTTACAGGAGCACCAACCAGCTTGGGACAGTAGTTTATTATATTCAAGCATGTTGTAAAGGAAGTCCATTGACGTATTGTCCATGTGTAGCCAACACGTTGAAAGCATATGCTACCACATCACTCATGGGTTTAAGGGGTTGGGTACGTATGTACAGTGAGGGAAAAAAAGTATTTGATCCCCTGCTGATTTTGTACGTTTGCCCACTGACAAAGAAATGATCAGTCTATAATTTGAATGGTAGGTTTATTTGAACAGTGAGAGACAGAATAACAAAAAAATCCAGAAAAACGCATGTCAAAAATGTTATAAATTGATTTGCATTTTAATGAGGGAAATAAGTATTTGACCCCCTCTTAGAAAGATTTGTGGCTCCCAGGTGTCTTTTATACAGGTAACGAGCTGAGATTAGGAGCACACTCTTAAAGGGAGTGCTCCTAATCTCAGCTTGTTACCTGTATAAAAGGCACTTGTCCACAGAAGCAATCAATCAATCAGATTCCAAACTCTCCTCCACCATGGCCAAGACCAAAGAGCTCTCCAAGGATGTCAGGGACAAGATTGTAGACCTAGACAAGGCTGTAATGGGCTACAAGACCATTGCCAAGCAGCTTGGTGAGAAGGTGACAACAGTTGGTGCGATTATTCGCAAATGGAAGAAAGACAAAAGAACTGTCAATCTCCCTCGGCCTGAGGCTCCATGCAAGATCTCACCTCATGGAGTTGCAATGATCACGAGAACGGTGAGGAATCAGCCCAGAACTACACGGGAGGATCTTGTCAATGATCTCAAGGCAGCTGGGACCATAGCCACCAAGAAAACAATTGGTAACACACTACGCCATCAAGGACTGAAATCCTGCAGCGCACGCTAGGCCCCCCTGCACAAGAAAGCACATATACATGCCCGTCTGAAGTTTGCCAATGAACATCTGAATGATTCAGAGGACAACTGGGTGAAAGTGTTGTGGTCAGATGAGACCAAAATGGAGCTCTTTGGCATCAACTCAACTCGTGTTTGGAGGAGGAGGAATGCTGCCTATGACCCCAAGAACACCATCCCTACCCTCAAACATGGAGGTGGAAACATTATGCTTGGGAGGTGTTTTTCAGGACTTCACCGCATCAAAGGGATGATGGACGGGGCCATGTACCGTCAAATCTTGGGTGAGAACCTCCTTCCCTAAGCCAGGGCATTGAGAATGGGTCGTGGATGGGTATTCCAGCATGACAATGACCCAAAACACACGGCCAAGGCAACAAAGGAGTGGCTCAAGAAGAAGCACATTAAGGTCCTGGGGTGGCCTAGGCAGTCTCCAGACCTTAATCCCATAGAACATCTGTGGAGGGAGCTGAAGGTTCGAGTTGCCAAACGTCAGCCTCGAAACCTTAATGACTTGGAGAAGATCTGCAAAGAGGAGTGGGACAAAATCCCTCCTGAGATGTGTGCAAACCTGGTGGCCAACTACAGGAAACGTCTGACCTCTGTGATTGCCAACAAGGGTTTTGCCACCAAGTACTAAGTCATGTTTTGCAGAGGGGTCAAATACTTATTTCCCTCATTAAAATGCAAATCAATTTATAACATTTTTGACATGCGGTTTTCTGGATTTTGTTGTTGTTATTCTGTCTCTCACTGTTCAAATAAACCTACCATTAAAATTATAGACTGATCATTTCTTTGTCAGTGGGCAAACGTACAAAATCAGCAGGGGATCAAATACTTTTTTCCCTCACTGTACATGATGCGATTCATTTCTTTATCCGAGTTAGGGTCGCCACGTTTCCAATTGTAGGCCAAACATGAACATACTTCTAAATCAGCCGAGGTCCATCAAAATGTGAACAATGTCCTGCAATAGTTCCAACTCAACACCCCACCAGATCTCGGTACAAATGAATTCCTGCCACCTGAGCACAGACACCAATTCCCGGAGCGTCCGGGTAACACGCGGGGCAGGTGGCGACCCTACTCCTTGAGTGTCTGGCTTCGCCGAGTACGATTCCTTTCGCCAGCAATTTAGGTCTATACACCGAACTCAAAAAGGCACAAAGAGCAAATAAAGACATTTGCAGGAGGTACTTGAACAATGCATAGTGCAAGTCACTGCCGTAATGTGCACACGTATATATGGACGTGACCACCTCTGCTGCCAGTTCCGTTATACACAAAACCCCAATGGGGGGGGGGGGGGGGTAGCACCGCTGCATTACCAATGATGAGTGAGGCAAATTTTGAAAGCAGGGAGCAAAGATCATAATTGACGTTGGGCAAAAGCGCGGAGTGGTGGCGCAGTGGCAGGCGCACTGCACTGTGGGTTCTGGTGATCGCAGTTCAATTCCCGGCCGAATAATATTTTACTGTGTTTTCTGGGAGTGATATCTGCACTGGTCTCCCCCCCCACCGCCTCACCAACCCACACTGCTCAGCGTGAAACACGGCCCAACAACAACGCCGCCGCCCATGACCTACAGAACACGGAGACGCCTCCATCCAGCGGTGGATTGACAAAGGGCAGTGAATTATTACAGTGACCAAAAATGAACGAGACCCACAAAAAGAAACAAGATCGATAACATTACTTTACATTTCTGTTGAGGGGCCATGTGCCTTTTGCATGCGCGCCAATTGGGATTCCAAAAGATGGGCCGCCGCCATAAATTTGCAATGTCTCAACATTTATAGGAGCTGTTGCGGCATGCTGGGTCTGTGCGACATTGAGAGAGCCCACAGGGTAAAATTGTGGGCTGCCTCGGATATTTTAAGCCAATAATCCCGTGGCGGTATTGTATGGTTTTAAATCGGTATCATGGCACTTTGCGAGATTCTCAGTGCCACCTCCAGAGAAATAACTCGTTGGAGTACACATCTACTACCCCTACATGTGTGCACCTCCTGACAAGGTGCGAGTGTGTTTACATCTTTTCGTTCGGTTCGGCCTCGTGTACTCTGCATCTGGTGTCAGCTGACATATTGGTCTATGGCCTGCTACGTTTCAAAAAAACACAAAGATCCCCCGTATCGCCCGAGCAGACTGTAGGGGCAAGTGCAAGCACCTATGAAGGCCAGAACGGTACACGAGGGGGTGGGTGGCCAGCACCACGACCGACCGCCTTTGCCTCCCCCATAGGCGATGTTTACTACACACCACACCAGGTACTAATTTGAGGCTGAGTCGACCTAGGGGAGACCGAGGACCGGTATTGGCCGTGAGCGGGAATCGAACTGAGGTCGCCGGGTTCATAGCGCTGCGCGTATGCAAAAAGAACATCGGCAATTTCTGAAGAACTGCACTTTGGGTCTCCTTGGTCTTAAGTTACCATCAATAAACGTGTGAGCAAACAGGCAGGCAGCAGTGATACAGAGATGGACAACCGTGGACCGGTTTTACACTTCGTGTTGTTTGAAATTTTTTTTTTCAAGCCTGAATTTATAAATTTGACTATGGCCTGCTTCCATAATTAACTCTCAGGATATCAATAATTCAGAGATGTCAAAATTGCAGCTATCCTGTGCTAGCCAATGGCGTTGCTGCACGTCACTCATTTTGATCGATCAGCACGTGACAGTACGTGGGTTGTCGCAGCCGCTCGTGGATCCAAGAGAAGCCGCCACCTGGCTGGATCAACCCCCGGACACACGCGCACTATTACGCTACGGAGAGATGCGCGTGTGAAACCGTGTGTATGCATGCAATACAATTTGTACAGCCTCATTTTTAGGATTTTTAGTTTTTATAACATAACAATGTAAAAATGTACATGATTGTAAGTGCACCCGCTCACACATGCACGCTACATGTTCTGTACAAGCTGCTCATGCTCTAAAGTCAGCACACAATTGTCCGTTTCGTTCCACCGCACGGTATTTCCAGGATTTAGAGGTCGGGCTTCCGACCTGCATTGCCCACAGTGCGATCACCGCTGCAGCAAGTTCACTGTACAACTTTGTTTTCGAATTATCCACTTCACTTCGTGGAACTAATTTGTGCTGCGCTGCAGAACGTCAGCTTCAGTCAACCGCACCTGATCCTTATTCTGCTGCAGAGGAGACACGCATACACAAAGCACAACATTCAAGACGTCATCGCGGCCACGGCCATCGACACCCCCACAACGCATCACCAACGCTTTCTACCCTCCACCGGATCCGCAGCTGCTGCATGGTGGACATGATGTACAGGCCACCACGGTCTGCCCTGAGAGTATCCCACCAACTGCCCTTAGGTCTTCTCTTCCCCTTGGTCGCCAAACCCGTGGAGACCACTCTGGGCCCTGTCGCGGAAATTGGCCCTCCACCCATCTTATGTACGTTGAATGCCTGTTGCACCGTACGTAGCCAAACGTGCTAACCGGAGGTGCGCGCACATCCCACTCGGCACAATTATTTTGCCTCATCGCATTTGCAACATTAAGCTGCCCCGTGCTCTTCATGCTTTCCCACCTACCACAACATTAACCACTGAAAATTGTCAATGCAAAACAGAATTTGGCGGCTGGAGATTTTATTTCAGTGGTTTGCAATACAATTTAATGAGCAGAGGTACCAAGGGGAAGGAGTTTTGATCAGATACCACCAAAATTACAAAGCTATGCAGAGAACGCTGTAGGTTTGACAAGGTCGTACAGTCTGTGGAGTACAACAGACACATCTAACAAAAATATTTCTTTGAATAATTTCGGTCATTTACTCAGAAGGGCCTCACCTAGTCTCAAGACACTTTTTTTGCAAGAGGTTCCTTGCTAAGTCTGTGCATTCGAGGGCGATGCTGCTTTGTGCAATTCTAATTGAGTAGTTAATTCAGGTAATTTTTCAGCAATGGAATGTTTGGCCAATACCAGTTACATTGTGTGTTTACTTCATGGGAGGAAACTGTAGAATGCAGAGAAAACAAAGACTGATACACACAAACTCGCACAAACACAAAGATCCCCTGTATAACCTTAACAGACGGTCGCAGCAAGTGCTGTTAGTTGCGCACTTATGAAGGCCTGAACGGCACATGAGGCGGGTGGGTGGCCAACACCACGCCCGGCCGTCTTTGTCTCCCCAGTGGTGATGTTCACCCACACCAGGTACTAATTTTTAAGGCTGAGTCGACCAGGGGGAGGTTAAGGAACCGGTCAAATTATTCTCCACTGTTATTGGATGATAGCGGGAATCAAACTCTTTTCATCGGGTTGTTGCCCAGTGCATTAACCACTGTGCTACCGTTCCCCGCACAACAACAGCCGCCATTCGCCAGTAAGTGGCGGTGACGACACCAGTGCTTGTGCCAGGCTAGGTGTGCTCTGAGGCCACGTGAAGTGTCGAAGGCTTGCAGACAAGTCACAGGAAAGAGACCCAGGTACACATGGCTTGACTGACTGAGATGACCGGCAGATACAGCACCTGTGTCCCTTACGGTGCCAAGTTGCTTTTTATCTGCCCGGCGCTCCGTTGTGAACGTCGCTCCTCCACCCTCCGCTGTTGTTGGAGGGTACCTGCCTTCAACTGCCCAGCAGCATCCTTCACAGGGGCCGATTTTGACACTGCTGGTGCCAGTCCTCGACAAGACCAATAAACTCCATCCTCCTGTACCGCATCAGCCCATCATCTCTTCTCGAGCCTGTGCTGCATCCATTTAGGTAAACAGCATTACGCAGCTGATGAAAAGATGCCACTCGACTGATTGGGAGTGAGACCTCTGCTGTCAAACCGGAGCTGGTCATAAGCACATCGTCCAGGTACAGAAACTTCACCACTCTCTCTGATAGTAAGGCACTATATTTTAGTGAATGCGCCAAGGTTCAACATCAGTCTCCAACTCCTTCTCAGGGTGAACAGCAATTACAAGATCGTAAGCATATGTAGCATGGTTGACCAATAGGGAGCCATCCCTTGAACCCCACCCAAGCATCGATCAGCCTCCCATTGAATCTTTACCAGATGAAATTCCTTTGGTAAAGCCATGGAAAGCTTCTCGAACGAGGTGGTCGAAAGAGATGTTAAATAATGTAGGAGCCAGTGGACATCCCGGTCGCACCCCCAAGGTGAACAAGGAATGGCTCGGACTCCCAGCTACGCAGCTTTACCTGGGCCCACCCACCACCATGAAGGTCAGGGACATCGAAAGTACAAAGAATAATCCAGAGCCCTGGCCTATGGATGATATCATAGGCCTTGACCTGGTCAATAAAGCGGAGATGTAGGTCCTGTTTAAATTATCTCCACCTCTGCTACAGCACATGGACAGAGAATATGGCATCTGTGCAGGACCGCCCTGGCCTGAAACCACATTAGGGCTCCGCATGTCTTCCTTCAGAATGCCTTGCAACGTGATGTTGAATTATCCTTTCCAGGACCTTTCCCAGCACACTCAGGAGGGAGATGCCCCGATAGTTGCTACAATCAGTACAGTTCCGCCCCCTTTTAAATGGCGACCACAATAGCATCCTTCCAATCCTGCGGAGCCCGTCCTGTGGTCCAGACAGTTGTGATGTGATGTAGGACAGTCTGCATATAGACGCCACCCTCTCTCAGTATTTCGCTTTGGAGATGATCTCTTCCGAGTGTTTTTCCCCATCTCAATACTCTGAATCGCTCCTCATACTGCCTCAGCAGATAGCACATCAACCAGCCACTCAACGAGGGTGGCTACTTTCTCCAATATTTAAGGCACTGCAGCCCCAGGAAGTTCATCCCCACCTTGCCCCATGGTGTTATCTGGGCTGAGGTATTTCCCCTCCCATTTTCCACTCGTACACACTCATTCACCCACTCACTCTGCGGAGCAGGCGAACATACAACCGCGCAGAAAGGTGCCTGAGTCAGGGAGTCGATCCCAGGTCCTTCTCGCCGCTGAGGCGCAAGCGTTACCACCGCGTCGCCTCGCCGCCCGAAGCAAGAGTGTGCGAATGGCGGCATCTGAGAGAGCGGTGTGCGCGTGCGAGGAGGGTTACATGGCTGGCAGTGGGCCCGGAGTGGCCGTTGTCGTCTATCGCAGGGAGAAGGGCTGCGCGTGCGATGGAGCCGCGCGCGGAGACTCCGTGGAGGCCATGACGTCGCGGAACCACGTGGCCACGTCCACCTCCACTCGCTCGTACCGCCGCAGGAACGCGTGCTCCTGCGCGTGCGCACACGCCAAGAAGGCATCGGCGTGGATCTCGCGGACGAGACGTTAACTACCTCGCCTGCTATGCAGGTCGTGGGTTCGATCCCAAGTTTGCACGTTCTCCCTGTGGTCGCGTGGATTTTTCTCCGGGTCCCCCGGTTTTTACCCCCAAATCTCGAATCAACATCACCACGCGTTTAGAGTTTTGGCTGGTATACATGGCCACGTGATAAGCCACTTCATTGAGCTATCATTTGTGGCCTAAGTCGCTTCTGCATAAGAGCTACATAGCTCAGTGGGCCGTACCTGGTCAAATGAAAAGTCAAATAAATCCAATTTTGCCTTTAAGGTCCCCAATCTGTTGAGCCAAAAAAAAAGATTTTCCAGCCAGGAAAGTAACTTTCACAAGTTTAACTTTCCTCGCGCCTGACATTTCATTTTAACTCTCTCGCCGTGTATTATTCGTGGTGTACCTATGCCTCTCAATTTGCAATCCAACGACTGACACGGCAAGTGCAAGCGAGCAAACAAAAATGTGACTTGCGACAAGAAATATTCATTCCCCATCCCAACTCTCCAGGATTACAAAGCACCCGTAACATCCCATTACTTTGCATGCACGTTTGTGTGTCTGATTCTTCTGATTGCATGTTCTCGTATGCATGGACTTTCATGCCTGCGTAGGTTTGCGTGTGCGCGCGTGATATACATGCGGGTTATGGTAATCAAGTGCTGCGTTAGGAGATCAATTGAAAAAATGTTGAGAAGAACATCCCTATCGATGGGACCTTTTTGCCAGTATCCAAGATGTTTACCCCTTCTGGCAATAAAACAGGAGGTGTTAAGATGTTCAAACACCAAATTAGATACCTGTGGCAGAACATGCAAACAAACATTATCTAACAGGAGCTTGCTAACAGCCCTCGTATCCAAAAATTATATTTAAGGCTTTATGGGGAATCTTCGTCTTTGCTTTTCATACATAAACGTGTTTAGGTGCTTTTGCTAAGATGCTGTGTGTACATTCACCAAGAGCTTGTTGTACTTTGGCCGTTTGCGATGATCTTTCGTAAGGCTGTCGAGAGACAAAAACATAACTTAGAAATGGCAGAGACGCCTTCGATGCGAGGACGGAAAGATAGTAAAAAAACACGGCAAAAACCCGGACGTCACCGGAAGGTGCACGTGGGCAACCGTGCAGTGTGCGAGGTACCAGTCCTTTACGAACGCCTGGAAGTCAAGTGAGAAGCCCATGTCGCTTGGCAGGAGAGGAGGGTCTTCTTGAAGGACCTTGGTTAGCACCTCAAAATCTGTCTTGCAGTTCTGGTATGGGAACTGTCCCGTGGCCAGCTCCACCTACACCCCCAAGCAGAGCATCACTGGATTAGTATTGCGTCTGTTGACCCAGGAAACCCTCACTGAGTCTCAAGACATTTTTCAGGAAAGTTCCGCCAGGTTTTGGCAGCATGGGGAGATGTTTGTTCGTGTAATCCCAAGCGAGAAAGAAAATGTGCAGGTAAATTGTCAGCATTGGGATGTTTTGCCAATAATATACAAAACAAAGTGACAACGTAAACAAGAAAAAAACTGCACGCAGAAAGGCGCAGCGGTTGGGAATCGTACCCAGGTGCTTTGTGCCGTCAGGCACGTTATTGTTACCACCGCGCCACCCTGCCACCCAAATGGCATACGCAAATACAACCTACGGCTGGGCAGGATGGAGCAGCAGAGTGGAGACGTTTCTATACCTAGGCAGTGTGCTTATGACCAGTTCTGGCTGAGCAGCTGAGATCTCGCTCCAAATCAGTTGAGTGACATTACCTTTTCCTCGGTTGCATAATAGTGTGTGCAAGCTACCTAGCCTATGGTTCCATATGAAGCTTTGGGTCTTCTCTGCCACAATTATGCCCTCCCTTCCCTATTCTTGCAATATGTGGACCCCTCTAAAGGAGCATCTACGTCCGTCTGGCCTGCCTATAATCAATCAATCATGAGTTTAACATGGTTGGCTTGTGTGAGGAGCTCAGGTATCCTTGAAAGATCTGGACACAATACAACCGGTGAGCTCCTCCAAGGCTGTGTTGGCTGGGTCACGTAGCCCACATGTCCTGCCACCGCATTCCCAAGCATCTTCTGTTTGGCCAGATATAGGGGGCTAAATGGGTGCAGCATGGCTGGAAAAGACATGGACTGATGTGGTACAAGAGGATGTGAAGCTGATTGGACATGCTGATAACTAGTGCCAGCGGTGTCAATATCAGCTTCTGTGGAGGATCGTGAAGGACACTACTGGGAAGTCGAAGGCAGTTGCCCTCCAGCAACAACGAAGGGCAGCAATGCTCACAACAACGAGCAAAGCGCCATGTGGCGGCAACGCAGCGAGGTGGCAGAGTACAGGTGGGGTATTAGTCAACCCACAACACCTAAGCCACTTGTCAGCGAGCCTTTGACACTTTAAGTGGCCTAAAAGTGTATCTTAGCCTGGCACAAGTGCTGTGGTAACATCACTGCCACTACGTGCCAATTGGTGGCTGTTGTTGTTGTTGTTGTCGTAATGTGTTGAGTTTGTTGTCCTTCACCCGCATCTCCGATTAGCACGGTTGGCTACGTACGGTGCGAAAGAAGTTCAACATACATACAAACATACATGTGCATGGTGTAGCGAATGTCGTGTGTGTGGTGTGGTTTTGTTTGAAGTGGTGTATGCAGTGCGGTGTACACTCAATTATTCAGAATATATTTTAACAATTCAGGATCACGATTGGAACTCCGGAATCGATGAGTTTGGTGAGAAGCGAAAACAGTGAAGAGACGAGGGTCCGCCAGTGCATCATGACATGCGAGGGCTGTTCAAGGCCAAGTGAATAACGGTGTTCAGGCCAGGATGACCATGTGAGGTATGAGGAATATGCGGCCATAGAGGACACAAGGGAGGAGACTGGCCATGAGTGCGGCGCACAGAGAAAGCGACACGTTTGAAGTACGTTTCGCGTAACCAGACGAGAACTCAAGACACTGGGACAGTCTCATGTGCAAGAGTCGTCTGGGTCACCACAAGGGCAAAATCAAAAACGTAATGAACTAAATTCAATAATAACGCAATGAGAGTAAAAACAGCCGGACAGAAATCATAGCCAAGACAAATGCATTATAGGATTTCTATATCGAAAAGTTCAAAAAAATAACCAACCTTGATTAAAATTAACTTCCTATAACGATCGTAAAACTACGTGAAAGAAAAACATCAAAATGGATTTCGGGCGATTACTGCACCGCTGTGTACATAGGCAGGGATCTACGTGAGAGGATGGATCGGCCTGTACCAGTGAGATTCCCAGACTCCAGACGTCCGCCCGGATGTCATAGTCAGGGTGCGTTGGGTCCGGAGGATCTATTCTCTCAGGCTATGCACATGGGAATGCACGGACACATACAGACGGCACCACCAGCTGTAAGAATAAAAATAATCATAAAAACACCATTCGTTTTCAATGCAGTAACGGGACAAATGTTATCAACTTTCGTTGAATTATGAAGTGTATTGCACCCATCAATCGGAATTGGTACAAGAATGCTCTAATATTCGAGTACATATACATAATTAAAATCTATTTTTGTAAATGTTAAATACATTTTCTGTTTATTAATTGCTACAACCTATAAATGCCTAGGGATATACTACAATGAATGCTGTCGATACACTTTCGAATGATGGCGACGTTTCCACATACATTTTTATTGCATCGCATTACAATCATACATTCACGAGTTTTGTCACGTCTTTACGTTGGGAAAGCTGTGCGTAATCACTCGCTCACGGATTCACTCCGGTCACTCGCTCACCAGCGGTCAGTCACCTACTTGTCACTCTTCTGTCGCTACTACCGTGGCTACTGTACCCGTGAACTTCACGCGTCGAATTCCGCCACCCAGACTGTTTCATCCAATCGAAACTGCACTCAACCACCACCCACTGCAGGCCACAGTCGCCATTCGCCGCTAAATGATGGTGACGTCACCACGACGCTTGTGCCAGGCTAGGAGCACCTTGAGGCGATGTGAAGTGCCGATGGCTCGCCGACAGGACACGGGACAGACCCAGGTGACCGACTGAAATGACTGTCAGATGCACCATCTTGCGCACCGCACATTTCTGTGAGCGTCACTCGTCTGCTTTCAGCAACTTTTGGAGGGCAACTGTCTACATTATTTTGTTCATAAGAGCCACAACCTGTTTTTTGGCAGAACCAGTCCACCGGAACGCCTGTATCAGCCTCTCCCCTGCAGCGGGTGTGCGGACAATCCACGTGGCCAACTGCAGAGTGGTTTCCTGCTCTTTCTGGAAACCCCCTGAAAACTATTAAACTTTTAACTATTTTATCAGGTAAGGCCCCACTGAGCTAAACTGCATAGCTCTTTATCAGAAGCGAAGTGGTTTATCGTATGGAAATGTATAGCAGACAACACACATAACAGACGCCTGTTGCCAAGGGTTCTCCAGTACAAGTACAAGCTTAGTTTGGCTGTTTGCACTGAGGTGGTTGGCAAAAAAAATGCAATTTGGAGGGGTTACCAGCCCCTCGCACACACTAACACAAAGATTCCCCATGTAGCCTGAACAGACTGTTGGGGCAAGTGCTGTTAGCGGGTAGCACCTATGAAGGCCGGCAACACACAAGCACCACGCCCCGGTGACCTTAGTCTCCCTAGTGGCAATGTTTACTACACACCGCACCAGGTACTAATTTGAGGCTGGGTCCACTTAGGGGAGGCTCAGGACCAGTTAAGATAATCGTCACCGGTGTTGGCCGTGAGCGAGAATCGAACTCGGGTCGCCGTCTTTGTAGCTCAGCGCGCTAACCGCTACACACGACTGCTCCCCACTCACCCACCCACCGACTCACTCAAGCACCACACACCTCAAATCACAACAATTCCGTCCTGTCATCTCCCCTCACATAGAGCTTTTCTAACCACCTCGCTCAATTCAAGAAACGTTTTGCACTTTTATCCGCGGCAACTTTTAAAGTGCCGTTTTGTTGCTGGCCTCTTCGACATTTTGGACCTTGGGGCCCTGTGCTTGGCAGCGGCCTCAAAACCAACAACAACAATACACAGGCCCGGGGGGAGAGAGGCACTTACCGCCATGTAGGCAGCGCAGCCGGCGCCCCGGGTCTTCGCTTTGCTGTCCACCAGGCGACCGCTGATGCCAAAGTCGCAGAGCTTGATGCGACCCCTGGAGTCGAGCAGGATGTTCGAAGGCTTCACGTCACGGTGGATGACTCCGTGCTTCTCCTTGAGGTAGCTCAGAGCCTTCACTATCTACAAAGGTGACAAAGGTCCTCCATTTGGCATTCAACACACCGTTGGGGCAAAGCGAGCGCCTTCATAGGCGCTCGCTTTGGGGTGGGTGGCCAACAATAAAAAACGGTCGCCTTTGTCTCCCCAGTGGCAATGTTTACACCTCAGTAGCAGGTACTTATTTGAGGCTGGGTCGACCTAGGGGAGGCCCGGGACCGGTTCAGATAATCGTCACTGGTGTTGGCTGTGAGCGGGAATCGAACTCAGGTCACCGGGTTTGTAGCGCAGCGCGCTCACTGCTACAGTACCACTCCCCACATCTATATATATAAAAAAGTCAAAAATTGTGTGTGTGTGGGTTTGTGCGTGGGTTTGTGTGTGTTCGCGCGCTTGGCTTTCCAATGGTGGGGTTTACGCAAAAGAAAATAGCCAGGTACCACTCCGTAAGCCCCGCGGTGAGCAAGCGCTATTCCTTTTTCACATCTGTCAACTTTAAATTAGTTTAATTAGCGATTTAGTGAATTTTTTTGTGCGCTTCCCTTTTACTTATTTATTTATGACATGTGTACAACCATACCAACTGACGCGCCTTTGGTGGGGGGACGGCCCATGCCAAGTCGCACGCCTTTGGTGGGAGTGAGAGGGACATTTTCTTTCGCATTAAAAATGCTATAAAAATACACTAAACGCTGACGTTAATTCTTCACTGTGTGACGTCCCACCCCCACCCCGATGCGTGCAGTCATTACTACTATACAGTCGCTAGATGCTACCACTATAGGCCGTAGATATTACTGCAGAGCGGCCGGGGAGATCGTGGCTGGGGGGGGGGGGGGAGTCAGGGGTAGCAGCCCAGCCCCAGCCTGCCAAGGTGCCACCTCGGCTGGCTGGACAATCTAGGCGAGGCCGGAGGCTCTGCACGGGACTAGGCCTCACCACGTCACTCTGTCAGGTGAGTACTTTGTGCTATACAGTTGATAAATACTGCTATCGAGTCAGCATGTACTACTCCAGTGATAGCAGGAACCACCACAGTCGGTATGCACTGCTGTAATCATAGCAGGTACCACCAAAATTAGTATGCACTGCTGCAGTGAAAGCAAGGTACCACCACAGTATGCACTGCTGTAATTATAGCAGGTACCACCACAGTCAGTACGCACTGCTGTTAGATTTGTAAGAGTAGTTTTGAAATAATTTAAAGACCCGGGCAACGCCGGGTACTTCCCGCTAGTACTATCTACAAAGACGCCCTGTATAGCATTTAACAGACTCTTGGGGCAGGTGCCGTTACCGAGAGCGCCTTTGAAGGCCGGAGCAGTAAACAAGGGGGTGGACGGCCAGCACCACGCCCAACCGCCTTTGTCTCCCCAGTGACGATGCTTATGCACCACACCAGGAACTCATTTGAGGCTAAGTCGACCTAGGGAAGGCCCAGGACCGGTTAAGATAATAGTCGACCTATCTGCACAAAGATAAAGAAAAATACCCCCCCCCGTATAGCCTGTAACAGACTGTAGGGGCAAGTGCTGTTAGCGAGCACCTATAAAGGCCACGAAGACGGACGGTTACATCCATGAAAACCCTGGGGTAAATATGAGAATTCCAGCTACGGTCACTTTCCTCCAATGCACAAATGTACAACAACTTAAATGTGCGCTCTCGCGTCGCTGGTGACGCACGCACGCGCGCCCCCCCAAGTGTCACATTTTGCAACTCACCGCTCACGCCACTGCTGGCGGAAAGCCCTCTGCCGGAACCGACTCCGGAGGGTATTTGGTCTACTCTTCCACGTTAACCTAGGCGATGTCAGGAGAGACGGGCATACCCACACTGTGGCCCACCACACGCGGCCTGCCAATCGACAAGCTGTGCCGTAAGCCATTTTACGCTCCGCGGTGGATGAGAGACGGTGGAACTTTCGACACAGTTTCAGCTTCCATGCCGTTTGCGTCCCGTATACAACGTTCGTAAACTTACCGCAACGGTCATTTTCCCCAGGATATTCTCCGGTATCGGTCCTTGGATCCGTTTTTTTAATTTTTCTGCGCAGGTCCCCATCAGCTCCATTGCAATGAAAACGTCCGTCTATGCAGGCACACACACACACGCACACACGCGGGTTTTCACGCGTACGCAGGCGTCACGTGTTTCACATGAAAGGCAATCCCCTCTACAGGTCTTCTGACTTGCCACCCTTACCTGGCAAGGAGACATGGATGAAAAATGCAGGTCTTAATGTAACGACACAGATTTACAGACTACCGAGTGAATCACGTCTGGGAATAAATATATTTCGTAGTCCATTGTCACCAGGCAAAAACCATTTGGACTTCACCGCCAATATCTTTTAAATAAAATGACAAATCTTCAACATCCTGGAAGTTTGAATCAATTAGAGAGTTTTCCATTTGTGGATATCTCACTGATTTCTAATGACCCTCTTGTATGTATGTACGTACGATGAACTTCTTTCGCACCGTACGTAGCCAACCGTGCTCTTCTCGACATCAGGTGAACACGGCGACACCAAAAAGAGCGTTCCCTGGAGCGGAGCTACTCACACCGACGTACCGCAGCGAGTAGGCGGCTAGATGTGTGTGGCTGCATGTGCGCGTGAACATTCGCGTTGTGCACGAGCATGCCGAGTACAGTATGGTGGAACATTGGCACGCACCAAAAAAACACGCAAAAAAATGCTACGTGGTAGATCAATCGTTCTCACAATTGATTCTTTCTCACCATAGTACCTTCCAATGGACACAGCACTCTCACCTCTCACAAGCGCCTATCTAGCATCTGTCTCAGCGACAATCTTAGCAATGTCAAACCGCGTACAGCCAAAACATCACCCCCGTGTTCCGGAAAAAAAGACCTCATTAAGTAAACTGTGTAAAAACGCAACACGCGTTCAATAAAATGGCATTGGTTTTCCTGTATTCATAATTATTATTATGTTGCTTGTTTAGCCAGGAAAGCCTCACCGAGTCTCAATCCTCAATTTCAAGAGGGTCCTGCCAAGTCTTGTTTTACTCTACGTAAAGTAGAGCGAGTCATTTGAAGGCAACCTATCAGCGTTCTGATGTTTGGCCAACACCACTTACATTGCATGGTTTTATTTAGCTATGGGAGGGAGCCAGAGAACCCAGAGGAAACCGATGCAAAACAGGGGGAAGGCACAGAAAAAAAACTCCATGACAAGAGACTGTTACTACTGTCCCACCCTCCCATTTACTCTGGGTCTCATCGTTTGCATACTGGTCATGGAGACATGCCACTTGTTCTGGCTGTACTCGGGTGGGTTGTCACCTGTTCGGTTTTCATCCGCAGCCTGGGAATTGGCATCTGTGTTCGGGTGAAGAATTGATTTGTACCGAGATCTGGTACCGGTGTTGTATTGATTCGTTTTTTTTTTTTATTACAGTAAACTGCACAGTTTTGATAGATCTAGGACAGCAGTGGCCAATACACCAAGGCCCATGATCCATTTTGGTAAATATCAACGCGATCCGAGATGGAACAGAAATCTCCGACCAACGATTATCACTATACAGGAATACAGGAACACCATCACCAAAGCGGCTTAATGGAACATGTGTTTCGACGATACACGGTTTACCTGAGGTTTGCTTTATGGAACACGGGAGTGATGCTTCGGCTGTACGCGGTTTGACGCTGCTAAGAGTCCCATTCTCATCTCCGCATCGCAGCGTACTGCCGTGAGAGTGCCGCATCCGTTGGAAGGTGAGGATGAATCGACTGTGAGAACGGTGTATTTACCATGTATGTTTTTACGTACGCTTTTTTGTGCGGTAGTGTAACACACTAAACACTCACAACGACACAACGCAAATGTCACACAATGCCGCATGCACCTAGCTGTCCACTCGTTGAGGATGGTAGTCATAGCGAGGCCCAGATGGTGGATCGGTAACGGTGTTAGGGGCGAGCGTGGGGCTGGCAATTTAGGGTCAGGGCTGAGCCTTGGGCGTGAGTGACGCGGTGTGGGAAGAGGAATGGAGAAGGGGTTGATGTGTTGAGGTGAAATTGAAAAATAAAGAGTGTACAAACACACACAAGGATAGCGACGCTGCATACTTTAATACAATAGCAAGGGCGGAAATCACGTAGAATTAGTTCAACAAAGAGGGAGGGGATGATAATTTCGAACCCAGGAACGCAACCCTATTTTCCCCTCAAGGTCTATTATGAGTCAAGCGTGGTTTTGCCCAACGAGGAATTTTCTAGGAACGTAACGCCCTCGTTCGGCGAGGTTTGCATGTATAGACAGAGTACTCGCGCCATCTATTGGGAGAAATTATTTAAAAATATACAAATTCGTAGTCGGAGATTTTCATTTGTCATCAGCCACAATGAAAATTGTCGCCTGCTTATGTTTTCGGATTTGTCCTGAGAGTCATAAACAATATTTTGCAGTCCACCCTTGGATTACGATCTATGCATTTGCCACCACTGACCTAGGCTGATTGAGCAACATGCCCGGGTTTGGTCTATATGTATGTTGAACTTCTTTCACACACTACGTAGCCAACCATGCAAATCGGAGGTGTGGGGGAAGGACAACAAACTAAACACAATAAGCATTTCTAAGGAAATAAGCTTTAAATCTAGATTTAAAAGTGCATAGCTCCAGTGGCTTCCTAATGTCAGAAGAGCGTTCCAGACGGCCGCAGAAGCGCATCTGAAAGCGCGCGATGCGGTGACCGTCTTTCTTTGATGGCCAGCGAAAAGTCGCTGCTGCTGCTGCGAGGGTGTCTGTGGAGGTGGTGGCCCTCGTGACCCCGGAGGGGAGGGGGTGGAAGGTCGCGGGGGCTCACGTTCGTGATGAAGGAGCCGTGGCACTGCACGATGTAGGGGCAGTCGTGGCTCTTGAGCACCACGTCCAGGTCCATGAGGATCCGCTTATTCTCATCCTTGTTGCCCGAGCGACGCATTTGCTGTCACGAGAGACGCGTGCGCGAGCATGAGCACAGACAAGCGCGATAACGAAGGTGCGTTGCCGGTTTTCATAGGCGCTACTGACTAACAGCATTTGCCCCTACAGTCTGTTAAGGCTATACGGGGGATATTTGTCTTTGTTTATACGCAACACACAGAGCGTTCAGAAAAAAACAAGCGAACGTTGGCAATGGCAATTTACGCGAGCTTCAAAGACATCGGACAGATTACCTGTTTATAATAGATCTGCAAACGGTTTGGCGACCCAAATTCCACAGATTCCAATCCCCTAATATGCAACTGATGAACCCATAATACAGATATGCGTGCGTATCTCTCTGCTCACGAGCCACTATCACACAATATCTTGAGATGGAGCTGCATTAAGATGCTAAGTAAATACAAGTTGCATTACAAAGGCAATACAAACGCAAATACATCCAAACATACACATTGTATGTCTACATTGTTATGTGTACGTGTATATACACAGTACGCACAAATTTATATGATGATCTGTACTAGAGTGCTATTCTAAATACAAGTTTGTTATTTCCAAGGTCACGCCTTCTGGTTTTAAGAATTTTCCTGTGATACTGAAGCACTGGGAGCTTAAAAGACAACCCCCCTCAATAATTCCTGGACATCTTCACAGCTCACAGGATTCCTCCGGGATGAATAAAGATTCTGCTTTTGGCTGGTATAGCGAGGAAGAGGCGTCCCAAAGTCGCGTGTAAATACGAACGGATCAGAACGACACTTTCAGCGGTTGACTTTGAGCACAAATGTAACAAACGGAGAGGACGGTGATAGCAGAAAACCAAAACTTAACTTTTTCATGTGCATGTCGAGTGCACGGGACAGTGTTCCTCACTTGCGCACCAGGGTTTTCTCCAGGTGCCTCCGATGTGTAAACGCTCATTGACAGGCCGATAACACCTGAATATAGAGAGGACTTCAGAGCTTGGGGCTATTGTTGTCGCCGGATCATCGCGTGGCTGCCTTACAGTTCGTCTGTTTCCCCGTGCCTCCGAGTCGCTCTCTTTCTCTCTCTCCACAAGAGTGAGCGAATACTTTGTGCGTTACAATTTAAAATTATTACACCCTAATGTGCAAACATACAGCCGCAGTGCAGTGATCGAAAATGTGCCAGCATACAATGGTATGCCACACCTGGCAATTCTCAGAACACCAGGCACGTGTATGACTGGTACTTTTCACAACGGGCTCCTATTCCTACACTACCACGTTTCCACAGAGAGGACATGGCAGTGAGAGTGTGTAAGGGTGTGGCGTCAGCTAACGTGGGCTGCAGGACGAACAGATTTCACACCGGGGCTTCTACAATCACATTTGGACCGCAATAAATGCACGCGCAACGCGCACAATGGCAAAGCTCCCCTCTGTAGGACCACTTCGGCAAGTGCTGTTAGTGGGCACCGACGAAGGCCGGCGCGTGCGCTAATCGGAGGTGCGATGAGCACGGCAACAGAAACATCGAAAGTGGATCGACGGTGATGACCGTGCTCACGCCACCACGTGGCGAGAAAAACATCGCTTCGAGCGTGCAGCTCGCTCACCTTGACGGCCAGGATGTGCGACGTTGGTTTGTAGCGCATTTTCCACACTTGCCCGCAGGTGCCGCTGCCCATCTCACCCAGGGTTTCCAGCTCGCTGATGTCAGCCCGGTAGCGCTGTTAACCGACACACACCCGCAACGCACCGCATTAACGTGCGCTGCCAACGGAGTGGCTTAATGTCATAACAAGGCCTCATTTAACATTTTGCAGAGACCGTACGACGTATAACGAAGCAAAATGCCCGATCCACAAATGCGAAGGAGACATCACAGCGATGATGCACCACTCCGCTGGTTGTGACACGGTTATCTGGGCTTGACCACCACTGGAATGTGAAATTGTAGTTGTTGATCTGCATCTAACATCAGCAGCCATACGGCAAGAATAAGATTTACAGTTTTTTTAATTCACCGTCTTATTCAACTAAGTGTTGGGGAAGTCAATACGGCAGACGCAAATGGATGTTATTCATATTCTTTCAAACAGCTGCACTGTGAACACAGTGAATACATTTTTATTTCAATAAGCTGCAGTCAGCACCATCAGCCTCGATCGATCCAACGCTGGGTGAAGGCCTCCCCAAGACACCTCCCACGATCCTACTATGCAACAATCCGTCCAGCACCGGCGCACAACCTGATTTCCTTGCTCCAACTTCCCGGTGGACGTCCTCTCGGATGCATTCCATCTCTTGGCTGCCACTCCTGTTATTATCCTTGACCATCCTCCATTGTCTCTTTTTGGCCGTGATGTGATACTGCCCAAACCCACTCACTCTTCTTAACATTTTGCATGATGTCATGAAACTACGTATCTTCACCAATCCATCGATTATAATCGGAAACAAACAATAAAAGGAAGTAAAAATCATCATCATCATGACACGGCACAAGTTGTAGCTGTTTAATTAAAACTATCCTGGTTTGGAAAATGGTAAAGTAACTCAACTGATATAAATGCTTTTGATTTGAATGAGGCGCGTTATCTCTTTCTTACAGTCATTATTGGACTAACTAGTTATTCGTGCGCATTTTTAGGCAAGGGCCATGGTGATGTCAACGCAGACACAATGCGCTTGTATGACTCAATGCCCACGGTATATCTCACGCAATTTCCCTTTAACTCTTCAATGCAAAATGTCCCTTTGTTAACCAGCTCTTATAGACATGCGTGTGTGTGTTTGCAGTGGGGAGCACAGGTGGTGCATCAGCCAGTCATCTCAGTGAACCCACGGGCACCTGGATTTGTTCCATGACCTCCTGCCAGCGAGCCTTTGACACTTCACGCGGCCTCAAAGTGCGCCTAGCATGGCAGAAGCGCCGTGGTGACGTCACCGCCACTTAGTGGTGAACAGCGGTTGTTGTCGTCGTTGTTGTCGATTGCAAGTGCACGGTTTAGTTTGTTCTGCGCGTACCTTCCCATCCAGCGTCAGGAAGCCGGTCTGATTCATGATCTCCTGCAGCTTCTGGTCAATTTCGACACTGCAGAACGCACACAACGGCAAGCGCCACATGTACACACCACAAAGGTGCAGCGACTCCCTCGCAGCTCTGAGGGCAGTGCCCAACAGCGGAGGACCCTCTCGTGTACCGACTGCCCAGAGGTGGCCCCGAGCATCTCTGGGCACGGTCCGAATCTCACGTTCCACAACCACCACCTTTTTTGGTGCCCCAGGTCAGTCGTGAAAAATTTGATTACCCCTTGCCTCTTGAGCTCTCGCCTGGTCAAACAAATCAAAGTCAGCATCCTCAACACAGCCTACCGAAATCCTGAATAGCCACTGCCTCAATTGTTTTACGAATACATTTGTGCCATTCTCAGTCTTACGTGTGGAACATTCTCAATTCACCAGCGGATGAAGGTCTCCCCACATATGAGCGTTTTTTTACCACCACAATATTCCACCATGCCAGTCGCTGCCGATTGGTGGAGGGGTGGGGGGAGTGCAGGAGGGGTTCGGATATTTATTGTCACCGTTAGCCCTGGTCACGATTTGAACTCGGGTTGTCCATGTTCGCAGAGTAGTGCATTAACCACTGCGCTAGCCACGGTGTTCAGCACCGTCATGTATGCGTGTGTTTGACGCAATGATATCTATTTTTTGTTATTGATATTCCACCTATTCACCAAAGGAATGCTCACTTAGTCTAACGAATCTTTTTTCAGAAGAGTCCTGCCAAGTTTTCGCAGTAGGGGGAGCGATAATTGTTATAGCCTCAGGGTGCGTTCTAGGTAAACAGCGCTGGAGGTCATTATAACACTAGAGTGATATTTTGTTACCTATGAGCGATATACGAGGGCTTCATTGGGGCATCGGTAATAGCCTAAACGACACCGAGCACATGATAAATGTACAAAAGCATTATATAAATAAAAATAACTTTGAATGATAACATGTCAAACACAACGGGTGATCCACTCACTCGCGTAAGATTAACCACCGTCTGCCATAAACCCACGAAGCTGTACTAACCAATGGGATTACTCATTCCGTGGATCGCTCGCCAACTAATTCCTGCACCGATTAACCCTCGGTGAATCGCTCCTCGAAAGTGGCTGTTGGATCGACCTTGACCAGAATCGATATAACGGACACCTCGATTCAGGCTCCACAAGACCGTTCTTTGGCTGAGACACGCCCCTACGGGCAACGCCACGACCACTCTCTTCCATATATGGGTTGATCCGCGCAGTAATTTTCCTCCAGGGCAAAGAGCGTCACAAGGAACGAGCGTTATAAAAGGCAGCGCTATAAGAGGTATGCCTCTATTCCAACTGATATAATTAGCCGGTGATTTTTTTTATTTTTATTTGGCAGATTTTGGAGCAAGAAGCCGGCACACAACGTCCACTGTGATGCAGACTGCGCGCATTTTTACGGCTAATAACCCCACGGTGTTAACCAGGGCGGCAGCTGGATTCAAACCGTGAGCCTCTGAACTAAGCAGCAAACCGCGCTGCCACGGGGGGGCGGGGGGGCGGGGGGGCGATGTTACTTATGCGTGTCATCCCAAACTGAGTAAGTTTAGTACTGGGATGTTTGGCCAAGACCTGTTATGTTGAGTGGTTTAGCTACGGGAAGAAACTGGAGAACCTGGAGGAAACCCGTGCAGAACGGGGTGAGAACACACAAACGCCACACAGAAAGGCTCCCCCTATTCGGGAATAAGGCCATGCTTGCTATGAGCTGCAAGTGTCACGACTCCGCCACCCTGCCGCCTGAAAGCAAGACACACGAACAAGCGAGCGCTCACCTCTCTAAACTCCGAGGGGTCGAGCCATATGATGACGGAGGTAGCTGCAGTGTCTGTCGAAACCTGGGGACCGTGCCATGCTGTGTGTGCCCCGGAGGCGTGGTGTGCGTGGCGTGCGAGGTGTGCGTGGTCGGCGAGGTGTGTGTTGTGTTTACGCTGTGGTGTGTGTGCGTTGTCCCTCTGGCTTGTAAACACGCCTGCAAACCAGCAAAAAAAAAGCACCCCGATCGAAAAACAACAAGTTAGTCCCGCAAGCAGCCAAAGCCCATGGAGATGCAAACAAACAACCCCTCCCGTCTGTCGGCCATGCTACCCCAGGTCAGTGTTCACCCACATACACACACCGTCAAAGCCTCATCACGCCCGTTTGACTGCGCTCCATTAACTCTGACCATCTTCGTCCTGTCCAACGCAATCAGAATCTTTATTTATCCTGGAGGAATCTGATAAGCTACAAAGCTCTTTCCCACAGATGTCCAGTCAAGGCATGGGGTCAGCCAGAACTCGCTGATAGATTGGGGATGGTTGCATTGCACTCATTTGGAACCGACACTCCTTTCAAAACATTCTGCCCGCCGATGAATAGAGTAAAGTAAAATTTAAATGAAGTTCGCCAGTTTTGCTAACTTTGTAGGAGGAGGCGAGCCAGTGGGCTTGCCACGTTAGCGAGAACTTAGGTTTCGTAACGAGCACCGGCAATGAAGTGTCGTGGTACAAAATACGTTTCTTTCATAGTATGTTTGTGTAATATTTCCGAATGAACAATTGAATGGCGGGACCCCGGGGACCCCGCAAAAATCATGTCAATAATTATTATTTTTCAGTCCGCCCACTCGTGATCCCGACAGCAAAGCGCCGCCCGCCCAGACTCGCGCCAACAAGCGCCAGCAGCAGCAGGCGGCGATCGACACGATGGGCGCCACCCCACCGGCCAAACACAAGCCCCGGGGGGCGTCCGCCGCGGTCGCGCGCGGCGACGACGCCCTCCGGTCAGCCGTCGATCCTCAGCTTCTTTGCCAATGAGAGCCCGCCCCCCAGGCAGTGAATTTAACGTGTTTATGTAATTTTTCAACTTTTTACGAAACTTAGTGCCCCGAGTAGCTCTTGACGAGGCCAATCGATTGACACTAGTTTTGTTGTCGGTAAGGCAACAAGACTTGTGTCGCTACGCGGTTTTTCCCACCCCGGGGCAGTGATGGGACCCTGGGGTCCCGCCAATTGCTTCAATTGGTGAACTGACAAGGGTTTCACTGCAACCGCAGCGTAGGTCATACAACTTCTTTAAAAGAGACAGGAAAGGTGAAGGGTCGTACATTACGTTGACACCAACAGGGGACTCGGGCCCCTTGTGTATTATTGTTGTTGTGCCGTTTCTTTACCCAGGAAAGCCTCACCGAGTCGCAAGACTCTCTCTCAGGAGGGTCCTGCCAAGTTTTCGCAGTAAGAAGCGATGTTGCTGCTGTGTGTAATTCTAATCGAGTATAATAAATACCCCGCTGTAAGCTGTCGCATTATGTGTTGTTGATTAATTTGGGAACATATTTCATACCTGTCAACCCATACGGTTTTCCCCGTATTCTTGAACAGGGAAATTGAGTTTTCAGGTCTATACGGCGTACAGCCGTTTCAATACGGGCAAACATTTTTTTGTTGTTGTCTATTTGTGTTGTGTTTCTCCATTGTGATGGGACTTTGTAGGATGAACGTTGACATTTATAAGGGGTACACGGGGTGACCGATAAGGTCTGAATTGGTCTGTAATAAGGTAGGCACTGATAAGGGGTTGACAGGTATATTTCCTCGTAAGTGTAATGCGTCGCAAACAAGCGTCCTTATGAAAAAACTGTGCAAGCGAAAAATCTATTTGCACCTTTTTTTTTTTACTCGGAACGCACGCGGTCTAAAAAGCTATTTTTTGCCACGTCATACAGGGCTGTACGCGCGTAGTGCGGAACACCAGAAATGCCTCTGCCACGCGCTCCGCCTGCCAGCCCTCCATTTTGTATGTTCGTTGCACACAGGTGAGGTAGAAATACTGCACAGCGTTAGGCGATAGCTAAAACAAAAGAGTTCAAAGGGCTTAGAAGAGTTTTCTTCATTTCAAGGCCCGCGGGCCACTGGCGGCCCCCCGGCAATACACAAATGCGAAAACACCCCCCCCCCCATCATCATCATCATCGTGCTGCTGTCAAACTGCGATGGTTTCAAATGTGTGGCGCCTCTCGCACTTATGATGTCTCATCAACGAAAGTGGCCTGCACCCCTCTGAGTGAAGAACACCAGCTTAGAAAGATGCGTGCAAAACCGACACTAAACAATGACATTGCCTCTGGCAAAAAAAGGTTGAAGGATACTATTAATCTAGAGGTTAAATGAGAAGTTTTAAAGCATTCTGACGCAGGTGTAAAGGAAGTCTATATTGCCAGAATTATTTGCCTACCCACGACCTCGGTGAGAAGTATTCGACTGAATGCGAGAAACATTATAGAATTTGCTCAAAATGTGGAACCTTTAACTGCCACTAAAACAACTCGTATAGCAGTTGTGGAATTTTAGAAAGACTAACTGTCTGGATTGATCATCAAAATCAACGTAGCTCTTCAATCAGTTGTATCAAATTATATGATTTGTATTTATAATTAGTAAAAACATGCATGTTAAATTGTAATCACATGCACTTTTTGCACACTTCATGACATTTAGTTACGTATTTTTTTCAAGAAATGTCGGCTAGGAACATAACCCTTGAATTTAAACATTATTTCGATGGAAAAATTAGAGTGCGCTTGAAGTAATTTAGAGTTAAGTAGCATTCCCCCCAGGAATGCATCACTTACGTATAGTGGGGAAATTACTGTATTTTTTATGCATTAGGCTGTTTGGCCAATACCAATTACATTGCATCTTTACTTTTATATTCTTGGTAAAGTCACGTAGAAGGGAAACATTAAAATAATAAAGAACCAAGAATATGAATCCCTGCAGTCACGAAAGCTTTAAATCAAAATCTTTACTTTTGTTCTGGCAGGAAACCTGAGAATCCAAAGGAAACCAATGTAGACACGGGTGGGGGGGGTGGGGAGAACATACAGACTCCACACAGAAAGGCACCCGAGTCGGGATTCGAACCCGGGTGCTTCTAGCTGTGAGGTACGGGTGTGTCCCACCGCGCTGCTACGCTGCTGCATTGCTCACCTGTGTGGACTGGTGCGTGTGTGTCGTGTGTTGTGCTCCATGCGTTGGTGTGTGTTGGTGCCTCTGCCCATCGCTCTGATAGGTGGAGGTCTGGGTCGGAGGCTGCAGGGTGAGACCCACTGACACGCGCACACATACAGATATGGGAGCACAAGGAGACGCAATGAAACGCAGCGCCAAGCACAGATGCACAAGAATAAGCACGTATACACACACACACACGTGAACACGGGGCAGTGAGACAATTCCATCGATGAGCGCGACAGCCACAAAAATACATTATTTGGGTCTTTCGGTAAAGCCACGTAGATAGAAAAAAAAATAAACAAGCAATCGTCACCTGATGACGATTGCTTGTGTTGCGATCGAAACGTCGTGATATTGTTATTATTTTTATATTTTTTCTATCTACGTGGCTTTACCGAAAGACCCAAAGAATATGAATTCCTGCAGTCACGAAAGCTTTAAGTCAAGATTTAACCACAAAAAAACGTCGCGTTTTCATATTTTCGACTAAAAGGATGCTCATATTATTTTAGTTTTCAAAACATGTGTCTCCGTCAAGTCTATTTTCCCCATTACCCAAAGATCTGAGTACAATGAAGTTCTATCCATCCACATTCTCACCTGTAAACTTCATCGCTTTACATAAAGACCAAGATATCACCTAAAGCTAAATTATTTTTTATTAGACCAGATAATGTCCACTGAGCTACAGTGAGGGAAAAAAAGTATTTGATCCCCTGCTGATTTTGTACGTTTGTCCACTGACAAAGAAATGATCAGTCTATAATTTTAATGGTAGGTTTATTTGAACAGTGAGAGACAGAATAACAACAACAAAATCCGGAAAAACGCATGTCAAAAATGTTATAAATTGATTTGCATTTTAATGAGGGAAATAAGTATTTGATCCCCTCTCAATCAGAAAGATTTCTGGCTCCCAGGTGTCTTTTATACAGGCAACGAGCTGAGATTAGGAGTACACTCTTAAAGGGAGTGCTCCTAATCTCAGCTTGTTACCTGTATAAAAGACACCTGTCCACAGAAGCAATCAATCAATCAGATTCCAAACTCTCCACCATGGCCAAGACCAAAGAGCTCTCCACGGATGTCAGGGACAAGATTGTAGACCTACAAAAGGCTGGAATGGGCTACAAGACCATTGCCAAGCAGCTTGGTGAGAAGGTGAAAACAGTTGGTGTGATTATTCGCAAATGGAAGAAACACAAAAGAACTGTCAATCTCCCTCGGCCTGGGGCTCCATGCAAGATCTCACCTCGTGTTGTTGCAATGATCATGAGAACGGTGAGGAATCAGCCCAGAACTACACGGGAGGATCTTGTCAATGATCTCAAGGCAGCTGGGACCATAGTCACCAAGAAAACAATTGGTAACACACTATGCCGTGAAGGACTGAAATCCTGCAGCGCCTGTAAGGTCCCCCTGCTCAAGAAAGCACATATACATGCCCGTCTGAAGTTTGCCAATGAACATCTGAATGATTCAGAGGACAACTGGGTGAAAGTGTTGTGGTCAGATGAGACCAAACTGGAGCTCTTTGGCATCAACTCAACTCGCCGTGTTTGGAGGAGGAGGAATGCTGCCTATGACCCCAAGAACACCATCCCCACCGTCAAACATGGAGGTGGAAACATTATGCTTTGGGGGTGTTTTTCTGCTAAGGGGACAGGACAACTTCACCGCATCAAAGGGACGATGGACGGGGCCATGTACCGTCAAATCTTGGGTGAGAACCTCCTTCCCTCAGGCAGGGCATTAAAAATAGGTCGTGGATGGGTATTCCAGCATGACAATGACCCAAAACACACGGCCAAGGCCATAAAAGAGTGGCTCAAGAAGAAGCACATTAAGGTCATGGAGTGGCCTAGCCAGTCTCCAGACCTTAATATAGAAAATCTGTGGAGGGAGCTGAAGGTTCGAGTTGCCAAACGTCAGCCTCGAAACCTTAATGACTTGGAGAAGATCTGCAAAGAGGAGTGGGACAAAATCCCTCCTGAGATGTGTGCAAACCTGGTGGCCAACTACAAGAAACGTCTGACCTCTGTGATTGCCAACAAGGGTTTTGCCACCAAGTACTAAGTCATGTTTTGCAGAGGGGTCAAATACTTATTTCCCTCATTAAAATGCAAATCAATTTATAACATTTTTGACATGCGGTTTTCTGGATTTTTTGTTGTTATTCTGGCTCTCACTGTTCAAATAAACCTACCATTAAAATTATAGACTGATCATTTCTTTGTCAGTGGTAAAACGTACAAAATCAGCAGGGGATCAAATACTTTTTTCCCTCACTGTATGTAGCTCTTTTTCAGAAACCACCTGGCCACAAATGATAGCTCAACGAAGTGGCTTATCAAGTGGAATTTTTGTAGCAGCCAAATACTCTAAACGCGCGTCGATTCTAAACGTGGAGAGAAAATCCAGAGGACCCCGAGACAAATCCACGCGACCAGGGGGAGAACACGCAAACTCCAAATATACATACAGCAGGCGTCAGGGTAGGTATAGAACCCACGCGCTCCTATATACCAGGTGAGGGAGTTTAACGTCTCACCACCGTGGCGCCTTAAACATGGCATCTCTCTTGGCAAGGCTTCGGCCCTCCTCTCAATCAACGTAGCCCCCACATTCCAGTCACCGTTCACCGTCACCGTGCTCTTGTGCTGGGAAGTTTTTTCAATGCACAGCGTCTCATCCATGAGGACGCGGTCAGCAGGAACTAGGAAATCCTCATTCGTTACAACGAATGACGCTGTAGCCCAGCAACATTTCCGGTGCTTATTTGAATGACCAATAAAGCCACTCGATTTGAGACCGCAACACTGCGGCAGCATATGCAACGCGCAAGTTGCGGCACGATTCCTTAAGCTACTCCCACAGGCTTCAGCGATCACAGCAAAGTGCAGCTTGCAAAATGGAGACCACTGCAGTAAGGCGGTCCTCACGATGCCATGGTCTCCAATACCTTCTGTCCCTCAGAGCTGTTACAGCCAGGGTCTGCTGGCCCAGGAATGGCCCAGTTCTGGTCCAGACAGAGAACCGCAACCAGGGCCTGATGCTCTGTGAGCCATGGAGAGTCCATGAGCTCAGCCCCTTCCCTAAGCCCCCCCCCCCCCGTCCTTACGTTGCAAATAAATTGTAATGTAATCGACGGTGAGGATGGATCATTTTAGCTTGTTTCGGTTTTCGCTCCGCCGAGTGTTTTAGCGCGAACACGGATGGGCGGCCGACATCAAAGTGCGCAGTATATGCTGGACATGTGCTTTAAAAAAAGAGCTTCATAGCTCATCAGATTCCTCCAGCATAAATAAATATCCCGATTCTGATCTCGCTTCCGCAATGATTCCGTGGCATTGCAGCTGCTTGCTGTGAGCGTGAGACCCGGGCCCAGGGGCCCTCGGTACAGAAAACACAAAATCAGGCAGGCTGCAACTGCAGATAAGATCCGACATTCCGAATGAGAAAATGTACTAAATGTTGAAGCGAAAATGCGAGTCCAAGTGAGGTCGCAAATATAGCGGCGGTGTGGCACTGGTTGCTATGTCATAACTCCCACTACAACGGCCAATCAGCTGCCAAGAAGACAACAGCCATGTAACATGACCACCAAGCAACCATACAACATGGTCACCGTGACACCAAAAAATACGGCTACGGAGACAAAGTGACCGAACGCACTTCACCCTTCCCACAGGGATATGCAACGAGGCGGGAAGTGAAAGCCCATTTAGCCGGGCGCCGTTTCCAACCCCAGTGCTGCTTACTTCACGATCGCTATGCGGCGTGCGTACACCGTACCCATAGGTGTGACACACGGCGCGCAGTGCGAGGGCCCCACGCTACATGTGGACACCACGCATGGACCGTTCGTTTCTACCCAAAAGGCAAAGCTTCTCATAAGTAAGTCACATTTAAAGTTACAACGGAACACTGTACAAACAATACGGCATTGTAAAATAGTGATTAATTATTTTTAAATGGTTATACATTACCAAATTAACAAAAGACGCAACACATTCACCAATAACACTGTGGCCTTAAAAGGAAAAAGAAACCATTTATGTATTCAATAGGCGACGATTTGGGCAATGGCCCTTCTTCACAGCACATACCGCACATTCATCACACAAGTCAAGGTCAACACAGGATGCATTCAACTCCCCGAGTTCACACGAACTGCAGAGCCATACAGCAGGAGGTTATACGCACTGTGCACACACCACATCATGCGCAACAATGATGAGAGTTAATAAAACAGGGTAGGTGTGTGTGTGCGCGTGGATGGATTTCGCTCTGAAACCAAACAAAGTAGTCAGCCTGGGTTTCCACTGAACGCTTCAGAGAGCCTCACGTGGCAGCTGCACACTTGAAAACCGCCAATGCGGGCTAGGAGCAGCCAATCACGCAACAGCAGTGCCAGGAGCAGCCAATCACGCAACAGCGGTGCCAGGAGTAGCCAATCACGCAACTCGCATGTGGCGCTGTGGGAAACCCAGCCTGCCTCTGCTTTGCCAGGTTTGCGAAGAGCAAAAACCAGACGCTGAGAACGTAGGTGCCACTGCCACCGCAAGAGTGTCTGCGTGCTGTTAATTTTATAACGGTGCCTGTTAAGAGCGTAAATATCATACGTGAAGTGTTAATATTCAGCTACGTCGGGCACGCGGTTTGGCTGGTTAATGCAGCATGTCGTGAAGGCCGCAGAATATGCAGATAGGTTTTTGGCAAGAACCTCTGTTTTATTAATGGCCCCAAACACCTGGAATTCTATCGCTTCAAAAAACGCCCTCGGTTCCTCTTCCAGCTCGATCACAAGTTGATGCCGAGCTGTCGATTCTGTGCGACAACTTCACGTGCAGCTGTATTTTACTCACAAGCTCTTGTCTGTTTACGCACGAGTACAATAGTGGCCCCAAAAACTATGTCGACGCTCAGCGTAACTTTGATTAAAGGAAATGTATACATTGCATATTTATTTGGGTGCTTATTTTTGCACCAATTCAGTTATATTGGCTCGAAAGATTTTCATTCGCTTTATTGTTGTAAAAATCTTCACTTAAAGCTTTCGTGACTGCAGGAGTTCATATTCTTGGTTCTTTCGGTAAAGTCACGTAGATAGTTTCAAAGACAATAACAAAAAATAACAAACAAAAAACTACGACGTTTCGATCGCAACGCACGCAATCGTCATCAGGATAATTTTTCTTCCTGATGACGATTGATACATCGTAGTTTTGTTTTTTTTCTTTGAACCTATCTACGTGACTTTACCGAAAGACTCCAAGAATACTTATTCTTGTACTTTGATTTTATGCAATCGCTTTTGTCTCCTTGGTGGCCGAGGTCAGATTTGCAATGGAGACCATCCTCGTCTCTTTTTGAGTTCTCAACCTGGTTAAACTTGAAACCTGAACTCTGCATTGCAACGGCTGACCACGTGGATGAGGCACTGATGAGCAATTGTTCATGGTCATTGACGAGCCGCGCTGCAACTAAGTTTCCCCACTTACGCAGTTCTTAAAAGTAAAGGCAGTAAAAGTCCCCTGGACGTGACGCGGCTCTCGTTGGGAGGGCGGCCAGCTCGTGAGCACGCTTGCCACGCACTGTTGGACGAATCAGAGGGTCTAGGGCTCAATTCCTGCCGCTGCCCAATGATGTTTGCAGGAGAACGTACTCAGGTTATGTACGGTACATGTTACATTCCCCGACACTTAGCGAATGCGTTCGAGGCCTTTTTTTGCGCCACAACTCAAATCCCGAATTTGAAAATGAGTCACAAATTGAAACTAAAATCTATTTTTTATTTTACCAGGTAAGGCCCCACTGAGCTATGTAGCTCTTTTTCAGAAGCTACCTGGCCACAAATAATAGCTCAACAAAGTGGCTTATCACGTGGAAATGTAATGCAGTCAAATACTCTGAACGCACGTGTTTAAACGTGGAGGGAAAAACTGAAGGACCGGGTAAATTGCCTCTACGCAACTATGGTGAAGAATAAGGAATTAATATATTTCATTGTGATAATATATGGATGCATGTGTTCATTCCTCCACTTCCAAACTAAGAATACAGAATAATGAAGAACTATAATAATAGAAGATCACAAACTGCTTTTCTATTATTCAGATACCCATCCCAGCAGCTAAGGGATTCAGAGATATCTGCTCACATGACCATAAAGAGCCAATCCTGAGTCTGCTTTCCTCTGAAAAAAATTGACATCCTGGATATTCAACTGACCGGAATGGGCGAGTAAAGAATCCTGGCTGGAATTTCTTTCATTAAAAAAAAGGACAACAAACGATAATGTGAAGCGATGCAAAATGCATGAACTTGCGCAGATGCATCCACGCGAGCCGAGGCCATTAGTCGGTGAGCCGCAAGCGTGCTTGCCGTTGGTGTCGGCATGCTTTACACCTGTGGTGCGGGCCGCCACTCGCGTGGCTTCGGGGCGTGTGCAGGAGCGAGGTTACCGCGCTACGCGATCGCGGTGGCGTGCAGTAGCGGCGGCGGCGCCTCGCTCGCTGGCTCGTGAGGTTACCTTGTGTTTGCTGTCGAGTGGGCGAAGCTAGGGTAACAACAATGACTGAGGAGGGGGGGGGGGAGAGAAATGAGATCGACGGCATGACACACACACACACGGAGACAGAGAGAAGCACCGAGACGGGAAAGAGAGGGTAAAACATAAAATTTGCAACACAACCAAAAATAAAATGGGATTTTTTTTTACAGATTCATGGAACGAGGGACGCAGAAATGGAACGATGGAACATTGCTGTGAGCGGTGCTGTCCGATTGAGTTCAGTGCAATGTCCTCTTCCACGGAGCACTCCTTTGCCGAGGCAAAGAGGTGTGAGAGTTGCGCAGGCCCGAGTAAGTGCTAGAACTGGATAGGGGTTAACCCACAATGGCCAGCTACTGGGCGAAAGGTGGGACAGAATGTGCTCCCTTCACCAATCTTGCACTGTCTACATGCTGATTGATGATCCAGCACCGACTAATTCCCTCCAGTCACCGGTGGTCAGTCACGTCCTTATCGCTCTCCTATTGCTACTGCCATGGTTACTGTTCCCGTGAACTTGAATCCAACAATGTTGAGGACTCGGTCTACCAGACCGGCCGTTTCAACTCACCCAGTGTTCCACCACCACACTGTAGGTTACAACACACTCACTCACTCACCACAATGGAGGTTACAACTCACTCACTCACCAACTCACTCACTCACCACACTGCAGGTTACAACACACTCACTCACTCACCAACACACTCACTCACTCACCAACTCACTAACCAACTCACTCACTCACTCACCACACTGCAGGTTACAACACACTCACTCACTCACCAACACACTCACTCACCAACACACTCACTCACCAACTCACTCACTCACCACACTGCAGGTTACAACACACTCACTCACTCACCAACACACTCACTCACTCACCAAATCACTAACTAACTCACTCACTCACCACACTGCAGGTTACAACACACTCACTCACTCACCAACACACTCACCACACTGGAGGTTACAATACACTCACTCACCAACTCACTCACTCACCACACTGCAGGTTACAACACACTCACTCACTCACCAACACACTCACCAACTCACTAACCAACTCACTCACTCACCACACTGCAGGTTACAACACACTCACTCACTCACCAACACACTCACCAACACACTCACTCACCAACTCACTCACTCACCACACTGCAGGTTACAACACACTCACTACCTCACCAACACACTCACTCACTCACCAACTCACTAACTAACTCACTCACTCACCACACTGCAGGTTACAACACACTCACTCACTCACCAACACACTCACCACACTGGAGGTTACAACACTCACTCACCAACTCACTCACTCACCACACTGCAGGTTACAACACACTCACTCACTCACCAACTCACTCACTCACCAACACACTCACCAACTCACTAACCAACTCACTCACCACACTGCAGGTTACAACACTTCTCTTTCTGCTTCTTCACAAGTGCTGCTCCACTTTGAAATTCCATCCATCATCTCTTTTTTAACAATTCCTTACAACATTCGAGAAATGCGTTAACGCTTTGGTGCACCGCGGTGGCGCGATGTTAACTTCCTGATCTGGTATACAGGAGGTCGTGGGTTTGGTCCCAACCCTGACGCCTGTAATATTTGGAGTTTGCATGTCTCTCCCCCCCCCCCCCCCCCCCCGTGGTCGCGTGGATTTCCCCCGGTTCTCCAGTTTTTCCCTCCACGTTTAGAATCAATGTGCGTTGAGTATTTGGCTGTTATAAATTTCCACGTCATAAGACACTTTTGTCGCCAGGTTGCTTCTAAAAAAAAAGTTATATAGCTCAGTGGGCCTTTCCTGGTAAAATAAAAAAAAGAGTTTTTAGTTTTATAGTATTACAACTTTAATCGTGCCGCTTGTTGCTGGCCACTTGGCGTTTTGTTCCGTTTGGCCTGTGCTCAGCAACTAAGCACAAGAACCGCTCTCGCACGTCTTTAAAACTGGAGAAGCTTGCCGTTCAGTATGTGGAATAAAAACCTCCAGAATGTGCCCCACTCCCCCTGGCTTCAGAATCGCCCCCTCTTATCGGACGATCTCACACGCCGGGGACGTTGCCCTTTTCTCCCACGATTCTCGGAGTTCCAGGAAAGAGTCTCTCCTCTGACCGTGCGCACCACGACGCAGTTAACGCTTGCAGATGAGACTCTCCTGGTCTCTCTTGAGTTTTCACCGGATTAAACAGAATGAACGTGGCTAGACTCCCGAACCACACAGGGAAAATCCACTCTCTCCTCCCGAGCGCTGAAGAGGCTCTACGCTTCGCGTCGATCTATGCGTGGAACTGTGGAAATTACTTTGGTGCACCCTACAAATGTTCTTTCGGTAAAGTCACGTGACTTTACCGAAAGAACCGAGAATATGAATCCCTGCAGTCACGAAAGCTTTAAATCAAAATTTAATATATCTATATTTTTGTGCGTTGGCTCTGTTTTCCAAACAGGTGAACATTAGCGGGCCATTACAATCACGGGCAGTGTAATTATCGGTCAAGCCTGAAGCAGCAGATACCACAAAGGCCTCGGGCCCAAGCCCATGACCTCCTCTCTCGCCTGGACTCCTCACCTGCATCCCTGCCCAGGACGCAGGAAAGTAAATGGCAAGGAAATGGGCCCGCTTACCCTATGAATTAAATAAAATAAATATATTGACGGTAAATGTGTTCAAACCTCAGTGAAATCACCTTGGTTATTTCCCTAAGAGCTCAGTGAAATAACCAAGGGGAGCGTGTGATGCGCTTGAACAAATATTCATACGATTTAGTTTTTAAGCTCTTCCAAATCCCATTATGAAAATGAAACACCCGCCATGCTGAATGTTTGCATTGCCCCGACCAGCCACGTGACCCACACGAAGCCAATCACAAGGCGCCGGTGCGTGCTGTGAGCTGAGTAGCAAACGCCAACTCGGCGTCCCCTCCTCCCCGTGTCCCCGTGGAGACTGGGATTGCGCTGCCGCATCTCTAGCTCGACTCAGATGGCCGGGCCTTGAGAACTCTGCAGCCGGATCTGCTCGTATTACAAAACAGGGAGAGGTCATGTGACCGAACAAATCAGACAACCGGAGCTCCACACATCCAGCGTCAAGCGCCGCTACACTGCCGGCCGTGGAGACCGAGGCTCACTCTGTGTCAGACGCCTGACGCATGCGCAAATACGGGCACAGCCCGAGTCCACCCACCCCACGAGAGAGAAGTATGAATATATGCTAAACTTCTTTCACACTCACCGTAGATAGCCAACCATGCTAATCGGAGGTGCTGAGAAAGGACAATAAACTCCACACAAAAAGCAGTTCTAAAGAAATTAGTTTAAAATCGAAACGATTTTAAACTCCAGCGGCGTCATAATATCTGAAGAGCGTTCCAGACGGCCGCAGAAGCGCATCCGAAAGCGCGCAATGTGGTGACCGTCTTTGTTCGATGGTTACCCAAAAGCCGCAGCTGCTACGATGATGTCTGGGGAGGTGGTGGCCTTCGTGGCTGCAGAGGTAGTGGTCCTAGCATGGGATGTGAATTCCCTCGGCTACAGCAGTGACCACCCATTCACACAGTAGTGACCACTCACTCACACAGCAGTGACCACTCACTCACAGTAGTGACCACTCACTCAGCAGTGACCACTCACACAGCTGTGACCACTCACTCACACAGCAGTGGCCACTCACTCACACAGCAGTGACCACTCACACAGCAGTGACCACTCACTCACAGCAGTGACCACTCACTCACACAGCAGTGACCACTCACACAGCAGTGACCACTCACTCACAGCAGTGACCACTCACTCAGCAGTGACCACTCACACAACAGTGACCACTCACTCACACAGCAGTGACCACTCACTCAGCAGTGACCACTCACTCACTCACTCAGCAGTTACCACTCACAGCAGTGACCACTCACTCACACAACAGTGACCACTCACTCAGTAGTGACCACTCACAGCAGTGACCACTCACTCACTCAGCAGTGACCACTCACTCACACAGCAGTGACCACTCACACAGCAGTGACCACTCACAGCAGTGACCACTCACTCACACAGCAGTGACCACTCACAGTAGTGACCACTCACACACACAGCAGTGACCACTCACAGCAGTGACCACTCACTCACACAGCAGTGACCACTCACTCACACAGCAGTGACCACTCACAGTAGTGACCACTCACTCACACAGCAGTGACCACTCACTCAGCAGTGACCACTCACTCACAGTAGTGACCACTCACTCAGCAGTGACCACTCACACAGCAGTGACCACTCACTCACACAGCAGTGACCACTCACTCAGCAGTGACCACTCACTCACACAGCAGTGACCACTCACTCACACAGTAGTGACCACTCACAGCAGTGACCACTCACAGCAGTGACCACTCACACACACAGCAGTGACCACTCACTCACACAGCAGTGACCACTCACTCACTCACACAGTAGTGACCACTCACTCACACAGCAGTGACCACTCACACAGCAGTGACCACTCACTCACACAGCAGTGACCACTCACACAGCAGTGACCACTCACTCAGCAGTGACCACTCACTCACACAGTAGTGACCACTCACAGTAGTGACCACTCACTCACACAGCAGTGACCACTCACACAGCAGTGACCACTCACACACACAGCAGTGACCACTCACAGTAGTGACCACTCACTCACACAGCAGTGACCACTCACTCAGTAGTGACCACTCACTCACACAGCAGTGACCACTCACACAGCAGTGACCACTCACTCACACAGTAGTGACCACTCACAGTAGTGACCACTCACAGTAGTGACCACTCACTCACACAGCAGTGACCACTCACTCACACAGCAGTGACCACTCACAGCAGTGACCACTCACTCACACAGCAGTGACCACTCACTCACACAGCAGTGACCACTCACTCACACAGCAGTGACCACTCACAGTAGTGACCACTCACTCACTCAGTAGTGACCACTCACGCACTCACAGCAGTGACCACTCACTCACTCAGTAGTGACCACTCACTCACTCACAGCAGTGACCACTCACAGCAGTGACCACTCACAGTAGTGACCACTCACTCACACAGTAGTGACCACTCACTCAGTAGTGACCACTCACTCACACAGTAGTGACCACTCACTCACACAGTAGTGACCACTCACTCACTCGGCAGTGACCACTCACTCACACAGTAGTGACCACTCACTCACTCAGCAGTGACCACTCACTCACACAGCAGTGACCACTCACACACACAGCAGTGACCACTCACAGCAGTGACCACTCACTCACACAGCAGTGACCACTCACACAGCAGTGACCACTCACACACACAGCAGTGACCACTCACACAGCAGTGACCACTCACACACACAGCAATGACCACTCACACAGCAGTGACCACTCACTCACACAGCAGTGACCACTCACAGCAGTGACCACTCACTCACACAGCAGTGACCACTCACTCAGCAGTGACCACTCACTCACAGTAGTGACCACTCACTCAGCAGTGACCACTCACTCAGCAGTGACCACTCACTCACACAGTCGTGACCACTCACAGTAGTGACCACTCACTCACACAGTAGTGACCACTCACACAGCAGTGACCACTCACTCACACAGTAGTGACCACTCACTCACACAGTAGTGACCACTCACTCACACAGCAGTGACCACTCACTCACACAGCAGTGACCACTCACTCAGCAGTGACCACTCACTCACACAGCAGTGACCACTCACACAGCAGTGACCACTCACTCACACAGCAGTGACCACTCACTCACACAGCAGTGACCACTCACTCACACAGCAGTGACCACTCACTCAGCAGTGACCACTCACTCACACAGCAGTGACCGCTCACACACACAGCAGTGACCACTCACAGTAGTGACCACTCACTCACACAGCAGTGACCACTCACTCACACAGCAGTGACCACTCACTCAGCAGTGACCACTCACTCACACAGTAGTGACCACTCACAGTAGTGACCACTCAGTCACACAGTAGTGACCACTCACACAGCAGTGACCACTCACTCACACAGCAGTGACCACTCACTCACACAGCAGTGACCACTCACTCACACAGTAGTGACCACTCACTCACACAGCAGTGACCACTCACTCAGCAGTGACCACTCACTCACACAGTAGTGACCACTCACTCACACAGTAGTGACCACTCACTCACACAGTAGTGACCACTCACTAACACAGCAGTGACCACTCACTCAGCAGTGACCACTCACTCACACAGTAGTGACCACTCACAGTAGTGACCACTCACTCACACAGCAGTGACCACTCACTCACACAGCAGTGACCACTCACACACACAGCAGTGACCACTCACACACACAGCAGTGACCACTCACAGCAGTGACCACTCACAGCAGTGACCACTCACAGCAGCAGTGACCACTCACTCACTCACTCACACAGCAGTGACCACTCACTCACACAGCAGTGACCACTCACTCACACAGCAGTGACCACTCACTCACACAGCAGTGACCACTCACTCAGCAGTGACCACTCACTCACACAGCAGTGACCACTCACTCACACAGCAGTGACCACTCACACTCACAGCAGTGACCACTCACAGTAGTGACCACTCACTCACACAGCAGTGACCACTCACAGTAGTGACCACTCACACAGTAGTGACCACTCACTCAGCAGTGACCACTCACTCACACAGCAGTGACCACTCACTCACTCAGTAGTGACCACTCACTCAGCAGTGACCACTCACAGCAGTGACCACTCAGTGTCCTGAACCCCGGCGTCCGTGCGGGTCAGCGCCGCGGACGCGAGGGTTGGTGGATCGCCACGAGATTCTGAATCCGTCTGCGAGGAGGTTTGCCGTTCCCGCGATCGCGTGGTGGGATTCGCTCACACGAGAAGCCCGCACTCAGGAGCTCTCTCTCCCGTCTCCTACTGCTCCGTGGTGCTCCAAACTCGACCCAACCCCGGTTCGATTCCCGTTCACGGCCACCAACACCGGTGAGGATTATCTGAACTGGTCCTGGGACTCCCCTAGGTCGACTGAAGTCTCAAATGAGTCCCTGGTGCGGTGTGTAAACGTCGCCACAAAGGTGGCCGGGCGTGGTGTTGGCCACACACCCCCCTCGTGCGCCGTGGCCGGCCTTCACAGGTGCTCGCTAACGGCACTTTGCGCCAAAAGTCTGTTAAGGCTACACGGGGGATCTTTGTCTTTGCTCCGTGTTGTTGTAACGTTCGAAGCGTCTCCCGTCTCGGCTGCTCTGTGTCTGGCGTCTCCTCTACTCCCTTCTCGTACCTGCAGGAGAGTCGCGTCTCTACCATGAACCAACATCACCACCACCACCACCAACATCACCATCATCAACACCACCAACATCACCACCACCAACATCACCACCACCAACATCACCACCATCATCATCACCACCACCACCAACATCACCACCACCAACATCACCACCACCAACATCAACAACCGCCATTCGCCACTAAGTGGCGGTGACGTCACCACGATGCTTGTGCCAGGCTATGTGCACCCTGAGGCCACGTGAAGTGTCGAACGCCCGCTGGCAGGAGGTCACGGGGCAGACCCAGGTGCCACGGGTCGACTGACTGAGATGAGTGGCTGATGCACCACCTGTGCCCCCTACTGTGCCAACCTGCTGTGCTTTAGCCACCCGGCGCTCCGCTCGTTGTTCTGAGCGTCGCTCCTCCGCCCTCCGTTGTTGTTGGAGGGCGACTACCTCCAACTGCCCAGTAGCGTCCTTCACGAGCCTCCTCCACAGAGGCCGATCTTGACACCGCTGGTACCAGTCATCGGCAAGTCCACTCAGCTCCACGTCCTCCTGTACCACATCACTCCATCTCTTCTCTAGCCCGTGCCGCGCCCGTTTAGCCCCCTCAATCCGGCCGAACAAAAGCTGTTTCGGCATGCGGTGGCTGGGCATGCGGGCTACATGACCCAGCCAACGCAGCCTTGCCTGCCGGAGGAGCTCCTCACACAATCCAGCCTGGTTAAACCCAGGTTGGATCGTAGGCAGGCTAGGCTAAATGTTTCTAACCGGCGAAGATGTTTCATTAAGGGGGTACACGTTTCGCAAGCGTGGAGAAGAGAGGGAATGACCATGGCCGAGACCTGAGGCTTAGTGCGGAGCAACAGACCAGGTAGCTTCCACACAGCGTTACGCAACCGATGAAAAGATATTGCCGCTCAACTGATTCGGAGTGAGACCTCTGCTATTAAACTGGAGCCGGTCATAAGCACACTGCCCAGGTATGGGAAACTCTTCACTCTCTCCACAACTGCCCCATCACCGATTGGGAGTTGTGGGGGTGGAGTGTCCGATGGTACAAAATACCCAGGCATGTGCTTAGTTTTGGTGGGGCTGATGGAAAGGCCCCATCTCTTAGTGGCACGCTCCAGTCTTAGCAGCAGCGTCTCCAACTCCTCCTCTGAATGAGCAGCTATTACCAAATCATCGGCATACATAACGTGGTTGAGTAATAGGGAGCCATCCCTTGACCGATCAGCCTCCCATTATATCTGTACCAAATGGAGATTCCCCCGGTACAGCTATTGAAGGCTTCACGAACTACGTGGTCAAAATAGATGTTAAATAATGTGGGAGCCAGAGGACATCCCTGTCGCACCCCAAGGTGTACAGGGAATGGCTCTGACTCCCGGCCACGTAGTTTTACCCGGGCCCGCTCACCATCATGAAGGTCCTTAATGATCGTGAGCAGGGGGTCAGGGACTCCAAAAGCACGAAGAACAACCCAGAGCCCAGGCCTACTGATGGTATCATAGGCCTTGACCAGGTCAATAAAGCAGAGATGTAGGTCTTGTTGGAATTCCCTACACCTCTGCTGTAGCAGACGGACAGAAAATATGGCATCTGTGCAGGACCGCCCTTTCCTGAAACCGCATTGGGGCTCCGCAAGCCTCTCCTCAGCGTGCCTGGCAAGGCGATGTTGAATAATCCTTGCCAGGACCTTTCCCGGCACACTGAGGAGTGAGATGCCCCTGTAGTTGTTACAGTCTGTGCGGTCTCCCTTCTTAAAGAGGGGGACCACCAGGGCACCAACATCACCACCACCACCATCACCACCATCACCACCACCACCAACATCATCACCACCAACATCACCACCACTATCATCACCACCACCACCAACATCATCATCATCACCACCAACAGCACCACCACCAACATCATCACCACCACCACCAGCATCACCACCACCAACATCACCACCACCACCAACATCACCACCACCAACATCACCACCACCACCAACATCATCATCATCACCACCAACATCACCACCAGCATCACCACCACCAACATCAACATCATCATCACCACCACCACCATCACCACCAGCATCACCACCACCAACATCACCACCACCAACATCACCACCACCACCACCAACATCACCACCACCAACATCACCACCACCACCACCAACATCACCACCAACATCACCACCACCATCACCACAACCAACATCACCACCATCACCATCGTCAGCCCCTTTGCGTGACAATTACATGAAATGTGCAAGGAATCGAGACGATTCGACTCCAAAGCGAGATCGATTCCACGCAGCAACTCGCCCCCCCACCACCAAAGCGGGGGAGAATCGATTCTGTAATTAAATTACAAAAGTCGCGGGGAATCGATTCGGGGCCTAGTGCCGCTGAGGGGGGGGGGGGTAGGGGGGTAAATCCGCGCCTCCTTCGGCTCCGTCCTCACCGGGGCGGGCGCGGCGCGGGCTCGGCTGGGCCGGCAGGTCCAGGCTGAGGTCGATCTGCGGCTTCGCCTCGCGCTTCTCCTGCTTCAGCCGCTCCTGCAGCCGCGACAGCTTCTGCTCAAGAGACGATGACGCCGCCGACATTTTTCTTCGCCTCGCTCGCTCTCCCTCTCTCTCTCCCCCTAACACTTCTTCCGGCAGAGTCTACCAGCCCCGGTAGATCTGCCGAATTTCGCAGAGTCTGCCGAATTTCGCAGAGTCTGCGGAATTTGGCAGATTCTGCCGAATTTCGCAGAGTCAGCCGAATTTGGCAGAATCTGCCGAATTTCGCAGAGTCTGCCGAAATTCGCAGAATCTGCCGAATTTAGCAGAATCTGCCAGCCCCGGCAGAGTCTGCCAAATTTCAAAGTGTCTGCCAAATTTCAAAGAGTCTGCCGAATTTCGCAGATTCTGCCGAATTTGGCAGAATCTGCCGAATTTCGTAGAGTCTGCCGAATTTGGCAGAGTCTGCCAGGCCCGGCAGAGTCTGCCGAATTTCGCAGATTCTGCCGAATTTGGCAGAGTCTGCCAGCCCCGGCAGAGTCCCACTGAACTATGTCGGCCTATTTCAGAAGTGACCTGGCCACGCATGATAGCTCGACGAAGTGGCTCATCGTGTGGACATTTATAGCAGCGGACAAATACTCTAAACGCACCTTTTTTAAATTGTGAGGACCCGGAGCAAAATCCACGTGCCCACGGAGAGAGAGAGACGCAAACTCCAAATATACAAGCAGGCGTCACAGGGTCGGGATCTAACCCACGACCTCCTGCAAATCAGGCGAGGTAGTTAACATATCCTAGCCACCGTGGCGCATCTAGATGCACCTTTCTTAATGTGGAGGGCAACAGCAGGGACAGCTGCAAGGCTTAAACAACCCCCGTGGGCAACGCTGCATTTTGTTCTGACGGTGAATCCCCGCTTTCATCGGCGATGGCCGGGCACGCTCCAATTACAATACATGTGTAGTGACTCTCGGACAACTTGAACTTGAGAAGTTTCTTTACGTATTATTTAGGGCGCTTCACGCAGGTAACTTGAACTTGGACGGGGATAACGCACAGATCACTGGGGCCAGGGATAACGCACAGGTAACTTTGGCCAGGGATGGCACGCAAGTAGCGCCGACGCGAAGACGGTCGATCCCAATCCCACGGCCGCCTCGAACCTTGCCTCTCGCCTCCTTTTATTCCCGGCGTGGCCCTCACTCCGCCCCCGGCCACGCCCCCTTTTCCTTGAATCCTTGAGCCCATTCCCAAACTTTCCCAAATGATTCCCCTTCCGTGATTACCCCTCGCGACCACTGGGCTACGTACTGTTCCCGCACCCACTTGTGTTCAAACACGCACTATCTCCACTCATGCATTGGCTCCACACACACACTGTCTCTACCCCTGCACTGTCTCTACACATGTTAACTCCGTCCCAGTGCTGGGCACCGAGGAAACTATGAACACCCGTCATCATCACACTGAACTTTAGTAACCCATGTGTGGGCTCCAGCTCCCCACCATCCTCCGGAAGAGGTGAAACATTAAATATCAAAGCCCCCAAACAAATAGGGTCATGCCAACAGAATAAAAACACGTGTGCAGCACAAGTTGGACAGATAACCCAATTTGGCCAAACCTGGCTAAGTCAACACTACTTCGCTCCTTATAGAGATAAAAAAAAAACATGCGACTAACTATATCACTGCAGGTTAAGACTTTACCTGGTTAATCACCTCCTTCCAATGATTGCTCAATTTGTACCCATTTTCTCGGTTGAAGTTATGTCTGTGTTTATATATCTGGATGGCTTCATGGACAAATCTTTGATGATAGCCAGTGGGTTTGCATAGTACATTCGTCTTGGAAAAATCTAATTAATGTGAGCCCACAGCATTAAAACAATGATCAGCCACGGCCAAGGTATTGGTCCTACCGTGTTTCAGATCTGCCCTGTGTTCACGAACACGGTCAAAGACATGTCGTTTAGTTTCCCCAATGTAACTACTGCCGCAGACACAGCTTAGTTTGTAGACACCGGGGTATTGCATGTCAGGGATCACATCCTTCCTGCCAATGTTAGCTGACTGTCTGAGTTGCATTACTAGGTTGGATGCCTGTGTATTGAAAGGCTGGATGTCCTACTCGATCTGCCACCGATGCATCATTGACATGCTAATCTCTCACAATACAATTCCCACTTCCACAGCCTCAGGGAGACCATCTATAGCCCCGCCCTCTGACCCTGAGGGGACGCCCATCTCAGGCCTATATAAGGCCTTGTTTCAGTAGCTTTCTATCTCTCACCTGAAGACGATTGCCTGTGTTGCGATCGAAACGTCGTGACCTATTATTTTTCAATCTATGTGACTTTACTGAAAGACCGAAAGACTCAAAAAGTATGAACTTCTGCAGTCACGAAAGCTTTAAATCAAGATTCATTTGGAAGATATTAGAATTCTGCAGTTCCCGTCTCCGTGAACCTTTTCCAGGACATTCAGTACCAACGGAAATGGAGGGAATTTACATCCCTCACCTCCCCCCTCCGACAATGGCAGGACAGAGCACTGGTTAGCACTGCCTCCTGCTGTCAGTCTGGAGGGAAACAGCTAAATCTTGCAGTGGTTCTTTGTGGCGAACTAATCTATCCCGGGTGATCCAAACTTGCAGGCCATTTGAAGGAATATGCCAGGATGATGAAGTGACTACTTCCTTATGTCCAACTATTTTTTACTTAACCATTGAGCCATCTTATTGTCTACCCCAATCAGATGTCTCACCATCAGATGGATCTGATTCTCTTTCACCAAAGTCATGAGGATAGACTTCTCTTTCATCAGCCTATCAAACTTGGGGGAAATTGTCTGTTGACCATTGTAACCTGTCAATTTGTCACACCTTACTAGTGTAATGGTTCGAAAGAGGCGCTTACACTGGTGTGGAGGTAACACTATTTATTTAACACAACTGCAACACACCCTACACATAAGGTGGTGACCACCGTCCTACTCTCGCTAACACTCGGGTACTATTTGGCGTGGCCAAGCCAGGAGGGCTTCTGCTTGGCCACGATGACTGGAGGCTTCTTTCTTCAGAGTCTTCATGAGACGGCTTCATCCCAGGCACCAACAGCCCCGCTCTCTGCACTGAGCCCGCTTATAAGCCTCTCCGGCATGGCCGGCCACACCCTGCCCCCCCCCCCCCCCCTTCTCGAACCCACGAGAAGGCTCCACTCACCGACCACGTGACCCCCAGGGTCCCCCAGGGCCCCTGGCCCCCTCCTGGATCCGGTCACGTGCTCATTGAAGAACCCCACAGGGTCTCCTCAGGTCACCTGAGGAGATCCCAGCCACCACATCAAGTCGACTGATGTGGCCTGGGACAGTGGCACGAATTTCCGCATGTCACCGTCTATTGGGTCCAAGCTCTCCAGTAGATTCCGCTGGAGCAACTCGCATGTGTAGTCTGGCCCATGGGACCATTGCTGGGCCTCCTGTCTCACAGCCAAGACTGACCGCTAGGGTCCTGTCGTCTCGTCTGTTCTTCCAGTCTGTAAATCCGTCCTGAAACCGTGTTGACTATGAGTCAGAGGTGAGGCAGATGCTGGGTCGGGTACAGGCTGCACTTTGGTTTATTGAAAAGGAAGCTGTTATTGCAATGCTCTTACTACCGCCTGTACGGACCTCCTTAGGTTCCCATTCGAGCTTGCCGATATCAGTACGTCATCCAGATAAGGGTAACTACACGTTACCACAGATAGTGTAGTAGAATGACACTACTGTGTTGGCCCGGTATGGGGGCTGTAGGCAGTCGTCACGAAGGTCGTGTCAGGCCGTGACACTCTGCGTGAACCCAACAGGATACGTGATCAGATAAAGGGGGGCCAGGGGCCCCAGGGGGGTCACGTGGTTGGGGGCTTGGACCTTCCCGAAGGATCAGGAAGTGGGGTGTGGCCTGGGGCGGAGTCGGCCACGCCGGGGTGGTTATAAGCAGGGTGTGGACGGAAAGCTGGGCTGTTCTGCTGGGTCAATTCTGGGATAAAGCCACCATCTACGATCCTCGGTCTCTGGAGGGTAGGGAGGGGCTGGGTGGGGAGGGTGGGGCTGGGTGAAGGGTGGGGCTGGGTGGGAGGGTGGGAGGGGTGGGGCTGGGTGGGGAGGGGCTGGTCACCCCGTGGTGCCCTTATAAAACTCAACGCTTAACCTACTCACGCCGGCTTGTGCCTGCCCTCACAGTCGGGCATATTTGCGGAATACACCACGCCGCCGTTCACCCTGGCCATTGACCGAGCAAACCCAACGTGATTGTTTTTTGTTTTAATATAATTTTATTGTATTTCTACATACGTGACTTTACCGAAAAAACCAATGAGTAATTTTATGCAGTCACGAAAGCTTTAATACTTTATTATCACACTTCTATGGGGAAGTTACCATTGTAATTATGTGTAAGATGTGCCCTTTTTTGAGCTGCCGTTTTGTATTTACAAGAGGTGATCATTTTTTGAGCTGCCGTTTTGTATTTACAAGAGGTGGTCCTTTTTTGAGCTGCCGTTTTGTATGTGTAAGATGTGCGTATTTGAGCTGCCGCTCTCGCTCTGGCCCCTCCCCCCCTCCAACCGTATTTCCTATTTAAGCTCCTGTTCATCCCTCCGGCCCCCCCCCCCCTCTCTCTCTGCCTCCCTGTCCGTCTTTCCTCCCTCCTTACCTCTTGGTGGACTTGTATATGTATTTCTACTGACCGTGTACCTCGTATTTTTCATTCTATCTATGCTGGTATGTGCAATCCAAAGGTTGAACACGAAATTTAACACTCTTCTGAAATTCGTGGTCTGTCAGGAAGTGTCTAACTGTGTTGTTGGCCTGACTGGATGTGCTTCACATGTTTTTTCAGGTTTGTTGAATTCTCGTCTCTCATCTTTTTGTTGTATTTACCTCCGTGATTTGTTCTTGACACCTGATGAAGATCGCTTGCGTTGTGATCGAAACGGCGTGATTGTTTTTTGTTTTAATATTTTATTGTATTTCTACATACGTGACTTTACCGAAAAAAAACAATGAGTAAACCCAACGTTCCTACCAGCTCCCTCCGCAGGAATGTGTTTTTTTATCCAGTTGACAGCCAGTCGCTCATTCACTGGGTCTTGACTGTGGAGCCCGAGGTTTTTTCCAATATGAACCATCACATTCACATGTATGTGTAGCGGCATTGTTACACGCAACATGTATACCTACCTGCATAGCAGTATTGCATGAGTCACGACTACAATAACCGTTGACCAGGGGTGAGGGGGCCAGAGCCCACTGAGGGAGGGGGCTGGGGGGGGCAACAGTTGGACCCAGACCCTCCCGAGACAGGACGCTTGGGAGAGGAAGGATATAAAGGGCAGCAGCAGCTCTCCCAGCATGAGCCAGTCCGCACTCACCCCAAGACTCAAGACATCGAGATAGTGCCCTGGGACTTCCAACCTCCGGCCCTTGTCAGTGCCAGGTCCGAACAGCCCAGTGGCGGTACCCGTTAAGCAGAGTATAGTGTGAGGAGGGCACACTAAGTATGAGGACGTATCATCCTCTAGGCTATCGGGTGGGAGAGGCCGTTACCTCTCTGTTAGGGATGTTCTCTGACAGAGTAAATAAAGTGTTGCCTACGAAGAAGTCTCTGCCTCCTTTCTCAACACTACATATGCATTTAATAGGGCTGAATTATAACATGTCGAAGTCCTAAGCTATGTCAAGCTTAGGGTTCATATTTCGAAGAATTCCCGAAAAGTTTTTTTAATTAACAGCAATTTACTGTAAAACTTGATTTTTTTTATTATTTTCACATTTAGAGACCTCTCATAATGCGAGGCCCTAAGCTGTAGCTTTGTTAGCTTCTGCCAAAATCTAGCACTGGCCATTTAGTCATCTGAAGTCGAGGACTGGTCTGAAACTTAAGGATTTCACCACCATGAAGAACCTGGAATACAATCCTGAACGCTTCTGACCTACCAGAATATCCTCTATGGCCTCTGTCTCCAGAGACGTCAATGGGCCTTTCATTCCCAAACTTTTTTTCATTCTGGAGTCGTCTGGGGCCCTCTATTCCACCCATGACTGATGGGAGTCTTGACAGCTCCAGGTCGTAGACTCTGCACTATCGTCTGGATGACCCATTTGTTTCTCGGGTGGTCTTTTTCCATTCTTGGACGAACTGTGCGGAGCGCGATGGTTAGTAGAAGCATTTGGCAAGTGACTCTACGCGTGTTTGCTCTGTTCAATAAACACACATGCAAATAACCACGCGTCTGAGACTTCTGTAAATCCGGTGGCAGCGGAAGATTTACCACTAACATGCCACGTTATGGAAGGATAACCCACCAACGGCAAGATCCAACGCGAGTTGGATAAGTTGAAGGGGCAGCAGGAGGGGCAGACATCCCGGACCTCGAATCTATACGGCATCAACAAGATGTCCTCCCCGAGCCAGCGATGCTAATGGAGAAGATATTGATTCTCCGGACATCCAGCGTGCGCCATCCATCCAATTGCAGAGCCTTCGAGTCGCTGCTCACAAACCGTAATGGGATGCTCGTCCTGCCAAACTGCGCCTTCCGCCAGCTAGGTGGGAAAGCCCTCGACTCCATGGTGTCGGAGCGCCTCATCGCTTACGCGAGGAGGGCCTCCATCGTTCTGCCGGCAATGGAGGATGGACTCACACACCTCCCTGTTGGTGGCCAAACCCCCCCCCCCCCATACGCTCTATGGGCCCAGCACAGGTTGTAGCGCGCACGGGGGGACTAGGGGTCACACTCGTGAGGAGTGTAAAGGACGACCCACACAGGGGACAGCAGGCAGGATTACTGCGGCAATTTCAGAGACGGAGCACCACATACACGTAGATGTGCCTCCTATTAGACAGAACTCGTACAGCGAGCACCTCCACGAGGCGGCACAAGAGATTGCTACAAGCCGTCATCTTCCCTTTCACCAGACCATGGGGTGCTCCAGTGGTACTCGTCAAGTAATCGGATGGCTCGGTCAAGTTCTGTTGCCTTTTGGCACCCCGAATAAGGTGACGTTAGCCGACGCGTTGCCCCCCTGCCGCAGATTTAGAATCAGAATATGTATTCATACTGAAGGAATCCGATGACTATAAAGAATGTTACAACAAATACAAAAGCACAATAGGAGTGCAAAGTATACGACTTGGTAGTGAGAGCTACGTTTTCAGCACACTAGACCTGTCCTCCGTTTTTTTTCAGCTTCCTCCAAACACAAGATAGCATTCTGAACCCCAGGACTATTCCACAGCAATTGTTTTGCCGATGAATTTCACGACGGCTCAAGCCACACATTCCAGAGGCTGCTGGAATCAGTCCTTGCTCGGTCTCAAATGGGAGGTACTGTAACTCTCATATACTCAAACGATGTCAACATACTGCTGGATTATATTTTTCCGCCTGAGGACGACCGCTTGTGTTGCGATCGAAACGTCGTGATTTATTTTATTTTATACCTACGTGACTTTACCGAAAGAACCAAAGAGTATGGATCCCTGCAGTCACGAAAGCTTCAAATCAAGATCGATGTCATCATGTTCAGTTGGCTCGTTTGAGGGGCACTTAAGTCGCTTACGCTAGGCATTGTCGAGGGTTTCGAGAGGCTAATGTAAAAGCTCAAAACTTACAAAAAAATGCCGAGCAGTGAAGGGGTTGCGACAGACCCGGCAAAAACAGCATGCATACGAGACTGGTCCACACCTAAGACCATGCCAGAGATTGTGCAGTTTTTTGGATGCTCGTCTCCTATTGCTGCCACTTTGTGCCGCAATTCTCGACCGTTGCAAAAACCAATCTACACGTGCTCACGAGAGTAGGTCAAAGGTTCCCTTGGGGTTCGTCAAAGGCTACATTTTTTGTTAAGCTGTGGCCTCACCTCCTGACTTTTCCTATCCCGTTCACCTTCATCACAAACGTGAGCGACGTTGGCTACGGGGCGGTATTGTCACAGCTACAAGCCCCAGGGGTCGGGAGGTCGTTATCGCATTCAGGCCACACCGCCACCGCCCTCGACGGGCTCGGCACAAATTCAGTCCAGACAGACCACGCCAGCATTGCAGTACACAACTACGCATAACCAAATGCATAACGTGCTTGCTAGAGTCCTCACGCAAAAAAAAAATCATCGAAATGGCTCAGAACGCGCAAATGCCCGACGGCTCTCGTCTTGCTTCGCCCAGTCGTCGGCCGAGTGCAACCACCCGCAGACACTGCTCACACATTGGAGAGATTGAAAGCGATTCGATGCAAGGCGCTTTGAGAGAGGACGGTAGAGGCCCTTCTGCACTGGCAGGAAAGTGATGGGCTGCACCTTTGCCTTGTCAAACGTCTCTCTGCTTCCCCACAAAACGTGGGGGGGGTTCACGGATTATCCGCCAAATAAAGCTGCCTCCCCGGCTAAGGCCTCCCCGCCTCCGCGTGGACAGTTCTCACAAAACAAAAAAACAAACTGCAATTCGAGAATTTAAATCAGGACTCGGCAGGGTGTGTGAGAATAGGCATCGTTTGCATATTTATTTTTTTTGACAAAAGGGACGCCCAGTATGTATGAAAATTAAACCGGAAGAGTGAATGCGACACTGATAAAGAGTGCAAAGTTGACATCATGCAAAACTTACTTCACTAATTAAGCTCACAATTTCCACAACCCTGCTTGAATTCAGAAACCAAACATGGATACAACTTGGAGCCTTTGGGTACATTTTAATGATGCCAATTTAAGTTCTCAAGTCCATACTGTCTGTGGATCTCATACCAATTCCACTATTTAGCGAGGTAAGAACACCTGTTACAATAAAGACCTGGGTAAACCAATTATGTTAACATACCAGTGATATTCACGCATACGTGTGCTGATGAATTGGCAAAGTCCTGCTCTTACAAGGTCACGGAGTCTTTAATCACATTTACTTGGCAACTGGCAAATCCCACTTTTCAACTCTTTATAGACTCCGTGCTCAATTTCTCCAACGCAGACTCGAAATAAGCGTGCTCAATTCTTGAGCGCACCCACGCCAAAGCGTTCCTTAATCCAGCCAATTGCACGGCAGTGGGTCAGCACGATGGAATGCACGGGCCCCAACGTCTTGAACTCCAGCGTTCACAACCGGCGTTCGTCTCCAACGGAGTCGCAGAAGTGCGAGGCCGCCAGCTCTGTCTGGGGTAGAGTTTTGCGCTTTTGACATTGGTCATGGATTTGCTTTGGAGATCAGGGTCACCGAGAGAATGCATGCTTTGTGATGACGACGATCAACACAAATTAAACTGACACTGCACAGGCATCGTGACACACATTTGCCCTAAGTATATCGATCGAGCAAATATAAACATGATTAGAAAACAGCTCTGACATAACTGCATGACCAGAGAGAGTCAGATAAAAAATCCTACTGAAAATAAAATGTATAAAAGTGTTCATTTAAAAAAATTAAAGATGAGAATGTGACAAACTGTGCAACGAGGCTAAACAACTTTTGAGAACCACAAGGATGTCCGTTTTGCGAGTTCATGATGTGCTCTCGTGCATGCCTTTTGGCCATGACAACTGCGATGATTATGGAGACAATCAATTGGAAACAAGAATAATAACAAGGGTCAAGACACAACCAGAAATAAGGGGCATTGCAGAGGAGAGGGAGAGAGAGTGAACCCTCTAGATTCTCCGAGGGCTCACCCACAGCAAAAATGCACATTCAGGTTCAATCCTTTCAGCTTTGAATGCAGGAGAATTATCCAAAGTAACGTGACGATTGAACGTAGCCCAGTTGCTACTGGCTCCTTTGCCCATATGCCCAAAATTGCGCGATCACTGGGAGTGTAAATCCTGCTGCTGCGGTTGCCGCTGTGGGCAATGCAGTGCCACACAACCTGTGCGCGTTGGCACAAAGTCGTAACCCTGAGTGCATTATACTGTATTCATATTCTTAGCTCTTTCGGTAAAGTCACATGATACTGCTTAAACTTCATGCCACGTTCAGTGACAACCTGCACTCTCTAAGCGCCATGCATTATTAGGACACTACAGTGATAACTCATTAAGATTAGTGTTTGTGCGTGTGTTTTACACACACCGAAATGACAGCCGGCATATACCTCATTGGCATCCTAGCTAGGGGTCGCCGTCCTAAACCCTCGGCAACTCTTGAGATTACGGCTTGTGCTGCGTGGGTGCTCATCACGAGAAGCCTGCCGATGGCACCTCCTCCGTCACATGCTCCCCCCACCGTCGCTGTCGGGAGATCCTTGCTCACAAACCCACGGTGGAGCACGGTTATAAGACAAAATTAAAGCTCAAGATTTCGTCAGCTAGACACGGCATGATATTTTCCGAGAGCTCGGATGGGCAGCCTGCGCATCTTTAAAAACATACATTTAAATAAGTTCTTTCACGACACGAGACACCGCCATTCTCACGCGAGACCTGGGGGGGGGGGGGGGGGGGGGGGGGGGGGGGGAGGGGCTCCAAATCCCGCGTACCGCCCTCCCACCCCGTAGCCTATCGTCGTTCCCCCGGGTCTCCCTCGCGAAGGTGACGCGCTTTCGTAGCTCGCGCCTGGTGAAAGGTGCTGCCAGGCAGACGCAGCGATTCAACGTGAAGCGCGCGTCCACGCGCGCTTACGTGCGCGGTCGTCAATCATTATTTACGGAGGCGTCGACGCAAACCGCGACTTATTCGCAGGCACTGCTGGTTGAAATGTTAGCCAGCGTACACTTTAAATAACAGATTTGAACGTTATATTATGAACAGGTTTTTTTTTTAATGTGTATTGCATATTTTTCTGCATACGCGAGGGCGACTCATGGAACTGCTCACGAATTGTTATTTTGCGAATCAAGAAGTTGCCTCATTTTCCTTTCATCCGCTATGTGCAGCAAAATGTGCAGGAAATATAAAAGTCGCCGTGGAAGCCGAACGGTCGCTTCCGCGGCCCAATGGCGGCGACCGTCCCAGACGCTTCCCGCAAGCGTCTGCGTAACCCCTCCCCCCCCCCCCCCGACCAGAGCGTGCGCTCAGCACGGGTTAGTTACGGCATCGCGGCCTCCGCCAAAGGAGCCGCCACCCCTTCCCCTCTGGGGCCTCATCTCCAGGATGGGCCTCGCCACCGGAGGAGCAGGGCCTCCGCGCGAGCGCGGGACCGCTCCCTAGATGCCCTTCCTGCCTCCACCGCCTGCCGGCGCCTTGTCTTGGCTCACGCCGTCGTCGCCGCCGTCGCCGCCGCCGCGAAACGCCTCGCTCGCGCGGCCGCCTCCGTCGCCGTCGAACGCCTCCCCCTCCCCGCCCCGGCGCTCCGTCTCCTCCGCCGCCGACTCCCCGCCGGCACCCCGGCGTGCATCGCTCTGCCCGTCGCCGCCGCCGCTCTCCCCGCGGACCGCGGCGCCGCCGCCGCCGCCGCCGCCGCCGCCGCCGTGATAGGGTTCCGAGCCGGCGCGGTAGGCGGTGCCGGGCGGCGCGTGCAGGTGCTGCGAGACGTCTGCGGGAAGCGACGCCAGCAGCTCGGCCTCCACGAGGAGGCCCGCCCGGCGCAGGGCCGGGCAGAGGCCCAGCTCGGCGGGAAGGCCCTCTGTTGGCATACACGGGCATGGCCGCAAACGTTAGGCACGCACACGGCCACGCACAGAAACACAGCGATGCACGCAACCGCGACCGCGAGCACAACAGCCACCATTCACCACTGTGCCAGGCCAGGTGCACTTTGAGACCATGGGAAGACAGGTCACGGGACAGACCCAGGTGCCGTGGGTTGAATGGCTGAAATGACTGGCAGATGCACCACCTGTGCCCCCTACGAAGGCGACTGCCTCCAACTGACCAGTAGCGTCTTTCACGAGTCTTCTCCATAGACACTGCTGGTACCGGTCATCGGCAAGTCCACTCAGCTTCACATCCTCCTGTACCACATCACTCCATCTCTTTTCTAGCCCATACCGCACCCGTCTTACCCCCTCGATCCGGCCGAACAAAAGCTGTTTAGGCATGCGGTGGCTGGGCATGCGGGCTACATGACCCAGCCAACGCAGCCTTGCCTGCCAGAGGAGCTCACCGATGGGACAGTGTCCAGATCTACCACACCCAACCACGACCACGCACATAACCACAACCAACACACGACCACACACACACACACACGATGCACATCCCCCGCATTCCAACTCATAGCTCGCGTAGTGACAAGCGGCGAGATGGAATGCCGTTTCCCTACGATGGTAAAAGGAGCCTCTCACCCAGTGGGTTCCCCGTGAGCTCGAGCAGCGACAGGGAGGTGAGCGCGCCGATGCCGGGCGGGAGCCAGGTGAGGGCGTTGTGGCCCAGCATGAGCACGCGCAGCCTGCGGCACTCAAACAGCTCCAGCGGCAGCGCCTCGATCTGTCACGTGGCAATCGGAATCAGAATCGTTATTTATCCTGGGGAAGTCCGATGAGCTATGAAGCTCGTTTTTTTTTTTTTAATAGATGTCAAGTAGCAGCCGCATAGCCACACGTCACACACGACCACACAGAACCACACACAGCCACACAGCCAAACGCAACCACACACAGCCAAAGCCATATACAGCCACACAGAGCCATACAGAGCCACACACAACCACAGGCAGATAGCCACACAGAGCCACACACAACCACGGTCATATATAGCCACACACAACCACAGAGGCGCACACACAGCTACACAGCCACACAGAGCTCCACACAGCCACACACAACCACAGCCACATAGAGCCACACAGAGCCACACACAACCACAGTCATATATAGCCACACACAACCACAGAGGTGCACACACAGCTACACAGCCACACAGAGCTACACACAGCCACACACAACCACAGCCACATAGAGCCACACAGAGCCACACACAAGCACACATGACATGCCAGGCAGACACTAACCACACAGCCATTGCCCTATGTCTGCGTGCGACAACCACGACAATGACCGACACGTTAATTCAAACCCCACACCCCCGCCCCCCCATCCAACGCGATTCAAAATCCGAATGAAACGCATTTCCCGTTACGGTGAAATCCAACGGCCGGGACCCCTCCGCGGTCCCCCCGGGGGGCTACGTCGCCCGCGGCCGCATTAATCCGCCGCTCGCCGTCACCTTGTTCCCCGTGAGTGCCAGGTGCTGCAGGCTGGCGAGGCCACGGATCTCCCGCGGGATCTCGGTGAGGAGGTTGCGGCTGAGCTCCAGGTGGCGCAGCCTCCGGCAGCAGGAGAGCTGCGCGGGGATCGACTGCAGCTTGTTCCTGTTGAGGTACAACCGCTCGAGCCCCGACAGCAGCCCGATCTGTAGCGCGCGCACGCACCGCACATGCACCGTGCACGGCACAAGCACACAGGGCACGCACAGTACATACCGTCGGTGAGTGTGTCACCCTGCTCATCCGAGGCACACCAGCCTGCGCACTTCACTCGCTTGCTCACCGGCGGTCGGCCACCTCCTAATCACTCTGATATCGCCGTTCCCGTGGGTTGCCGTTCCCGTGAGCTTCACCCCATTGATTCACTCCAGTCACTCACTCACCCTCCAGCAGTCAGGCACCTCCTCATCACTATTCTATTGCTAGTGCCGTGGTTACCGCTCCCGTGAACTTCTCCCATTGGACTCATGAATGGGCATACAGAAGACGCGTAATGATGCAGGTGGACAGCGCGATGCTCTGCCGAGGAACGGAGTGCGTGTGATAAGTTACCTGGATGGGCAGGTAGGCGATCTGGTTGTACCACAAACGGAGGCAGCTGAGCCGGTGTAAGTGCTGGAAGCTGATGATTTCTTCCACCGTTTTCAAGTTGTTTTCCTAAAAATGTGAATGAGATTGCTGCTGTTACCGTGGCGATCAACTTAACAATCGCGTGACATTGATAATAACTACCACAACCACGCAGCACTGCTCCACGTAACTTGAACCAAGCAAGTCATCTCCTGCTCAAACAAGCAACGAGGCACTGATGTTCATCTCCTGTTTACAGTCCTGAGTCAGTGGTGGAAATTACACATTCCTACGGTGGCAGAATAACACCATAGCTATACTACACTAAACTATTTTTTATTTTTTTACCAGCAAAGGCCCACTGAGCTATACAGCTCTTTTTTAAAAGCGACCTGGCCTCAAATGATAGTCCAATGAAGTGGCTTATCGTGTGGAAATGTACAGATAGGATAATCACTGTTGACTTCCCAACAAAGTGGAACTCTTCTCGTTTTATCGACCCCGGAAGGATGATGAGCTATCAACTGGAAGAGCCGGATTAGTAACTCGAGAGCCTCACATTTTGAGATGATCGCCCTGCAGAGAGAACAGCGACTGGTGAGAGACGCGGTGGTGGTGGTGACCTCGGTGATAGTTCGGAGGTGGTGGCGATAGACTCGGTAATCGGTGTGGTGGTGGATTCGGTGAGCAGTGTGGTGGTGGATTCGGTGATTGGTGTGGTGGTGGATTCGGTGAGCAGTGTGGTGGTGGTGGACTCGGTGATCGGTGTGGTGGTGGACTCGGTGATCGGTGTGGTGGTGGTAGACTCGATGATCGGTGTTGTGGTGGACTCGGTGAGCAGTGCGGTGGTGGTGGTGGACTCGGTGAGCGGTGTTGTGGTGGACTCGGTGAGCAGTGCGGTGGTGGTGGTGGACTCGGTGAGCGGTGTGGTGGTGGGACAGGGCTGCACAGAGGAGATGAGCACTGCCTGGGCGCTCATTTGAGCAGGAAATCAATTTGACTTTTTGTTTGACAGCCACCACACAAAGCCACCAGGCCAGGCCCCCGCACTGCCACCCACCACCCCCAGCAGGCACCTTGAGGTCGAGCTCCTGGAGGTTGGTGAGCGAGAAGATGGCGTGAGGGATTCGCTCCAGGTCACAGCGACTCAGCTCCAGCTCGCAGAGGTTGCCCATCTTCTTGAGCGAGCTCAGCACCACGAGCTTGGAGCCCTCGTTGTTGATGGAGAGCTTCTGGAGCTGCGCGCCCACGTCCACGATCACCTGCGTGGGGGGGGCATCGGCCGGTCACGTGGAGGAGCCGTGGTGGAGCCGTGGGAACCGCGCACGTGGCAACAGGGTGACGCACGCACGGAGAGGGAGAGAGATGCGTGGCATGCTGTGCGTGGCGCTGCCTGTGCGAGGGACACACAGCTGCGTGTCGCTCCGTGATTGACATGTGTATGAATCGGGACATCTGTGAAAAAGAGTTTCATCGGATTCCTCCAGGATTAATGCATATTATGATTCTGTTAGCGCGCTGCGATACAAACCCCGGTGAGCCGAGTTGAGTTTCCGCTCACGGCCAACACCAGTGACGATTATCTGAAACGGTGCTGAGGTTGACTCAGCCTTGGATGAGTACCTCGTGCGGTGTGTGAACATCATCACTGGGGAGACAAAGGCGGCCGGGCGTGGTTGCTGGCCACCCACCGCCTCCGTGTGCCGTGCCGGCCTTCATAGGTGCTCGCTAACAGCACTTGCCCCAACAGTCTGTTGAGGCTATAAATCAAAATCTTTGATTTGTGTAAATGTATCAATATATAAGCAAGCAAATCACCTCTTATCCATATGTCTCTCCACGTAGAAAATACTTGCACGCCCTTGTAGGGGGAATGCATAATTTCAGCTGCATTGGATTAAAGTAAGAAAACTCAGGACCGGCTTCAACATTCAGTTTACTTACAGATAGGTGCGTGTGGGAAAGTAGACGCGTGCCACACTGTGATGAGCGGTGACCGCATGTGCATGCGTGCGCGCACCGGCGCTTGCTAACAGCACTTGCCCCAACAGTCTTGGCAGTGGTGGTCCAGTGCGTCGTGAACTGCGCTACAAACCCGTTGTCCTGAAATTGAGTTCTGCTCACAGCTAAAATATGTGAACCTCATAATGATAATTTTATATTTATATTAATAATTTACTTATTTATCCATGGAAAGCCACATTGAGGGGGGTCCTGCATTGAGTTTTTATTTTATATTTTCAGCCGATTAATGATGAGTGTTTTTTTTTCACACAAGTAGGAGGAAACCGGAGCTCCCAGAGAAAACCTACGCGAGAGAGGGGGCAACGCTCTATCCCTGTACAGCTGTAAACGGATGGCGATTAGTCCCACTCACCGTACTGCCGTCTCCTGGCGAGTGAGCTCATGGCACCTCGACGCCCACTGGCAGGGAGTTTCACATCACGCGCAGTGATCCATCAGCCCTCGCCACCTCCACAGTGCCGGATTGTAGGCCACGTGCAGCACCACCGCCTGACTAACCCTCCCTGGGCTTAACCTCGGTTGAGACAAATGCGGCTGGGTGTGGAGCTGGCCATGCCACCCTCCTCTCTTGTGTGCCGTGCCGTCCTGAACGTAGGCACTCGCTGAAAACCACTTCGCGCGAAGGTCTGTCAAAGACCACTTGGGGAATTCTGCAGCCTGCGCGGTGGTGCGCGTACATACTGTATGTTGAACTTCTTTCGCACCGTACGTAGCCAACCGTAGCTAATCGGTGGTGTGGGGAGGACAACAAACTAAATACAAAAAGCAGTTCGAAAGAGATGTGTTTTCAATCTCGATGATAACTGCATAGCCCCTGTGGCTTCCTGACATCAGGAGAGCATTCCAGACGGCCGCAGAAGCGCACGTGAAAGCGCGCTATGCAGTTCGATGGCGAGCGAGCGGCCTCTTAACATGCGAGGACGACTAGAGTTCGCGTGAAGACGGTGTGCGCTCCTCGGTGTGGTGCGTGCGTGCTGCACGCACGCGCTAATGTTCAACTTTTCTTGTAACGGAAACACAGCCAACCGTGCTCACCAGGGGTGCGTGCGTGGCGCGTGGCGCGCTGGAGCTCACCTGCGGCACCTTGCTGAGGTTGCTCTTGATGCGCAGCGTGCGCAGGCGCCGCAGCTCGCGCAGCCCGTCCAGCGAGATGAACTTGTTGTGCTCGTCGCTCAGGTTCCCCGTGAGGTGCAGCTCCTCCAGGCTGCGCAGGCTGTACATCCAGCCCGGGATTTCCTTCACGTCCGTGAACTGAGCACACGCGTTCGCCGCCACGTTTCATTGGAAATTTAGGAGGTGGTGGTGGTGGGGGTGCAGGCTGCGGCATGGCACCCGTGCAGGAGAACACGAGAATGCTCGCGGGTGAACGTCGGCGCCACCACGCTGCGGTGACGGAACTAAACCGACGTGTAACGTGACACGAATACCTTGCTCGCACAAAACACACGAGTGACACAACTTGAAACAGGCGCCTTACGAACACAAGCCAGACTATTCTATTCTTGCGTATGGTAATGTTTCTATTCTCGCTCATATCGACGAGTCTGCTGGCCACGGAAAGAGGGCTTCCGTAGAGAGTTGGTGCCATTTTCGTGTTCCTCATCCTCTGCTGAAGGAGCGCAGATGAGAGTGGGTAGAGTGGGTTTACGATGCCGTCCGTGGTTTGTGTTGCAAGGCCCACGATCGCGCGACTGTGGCCTGTCTTTAACGTATATCTTGTGGGTCTCTATGTGGCGTTTCTGCGTTGTTTCTGTGCATCTCTATGGGTCCTGCTGTGGTAGTCACGCGCACGGGCGGAAGCTGCCGCTTACTACAGTTTTTCCATTGCACATTTCTGGCGCTAGAGTCCACCGCCTCACAACAGCTGCCCCCGACGGTGGCTACCAGTGACAAGCGGGCCTAACCTGAGTACCGAAGCCTCGTATTCAGCCGTGTGCAGCCAATCATCGAGTGTGGGGGTAAACCAAAGTACCCGGAGAAAACCCTTTCCGTGCGACGGGGCAACGCTACAAACGGAAGAGCGCGCAATCTGCTGCACTGCCTTCCCCTGGGAGGGAGGGAGGGAGGCGGCGGCTCTGCCGGGGTTGGGGGGCGGAGGGGCGCCACCTTGAGGTGCAGCGAGCGTAGGTTCTCGCGCAGGAACGCCAGCGCGGCCATGTCGATGCGGGCCGGCGTGTGGTAGAGCCAGAGCTCGCGCAGGTGAGTGAGGTGAGCGACGCTGGACGGGATCATCACGTCCGGGATGAGCTCCAGCTTCAGCACCTGCAGCTCCGACAACTCGAAGACGGCGTCCGGTAGACCTGGACGCGCGCACGCAGATACGGCAACGACGGCGATTTCCATCGGGGATGCGTTCCTGTAGCGGTGCGGCGGCAGATATCGCGGCGACGTCAGATCAAAGCGGCGATGTGCAGGGTAAGGTGGCGGAGGTGAAGGCTGAGGGGCGACGGACACAAGAAGGGACGGGCGATGTTGTCAGCGACGCGCGTGTGGGGTTGGGACGACACAAATCGGGTCGCAGTGTTATTAAAAAAGTGACGACGTATTTGAGCGAATTGATGTAATAAAAGGGGCCTGATGTACATCGTAGTTTGACTGCATGAAGATCTTTCACAGGCTGTTGGGGCAAGTATTGTTAGCGAGTAGCCAGTACGTCACACGACGAGGCGGTGCGGTTGATACCACACCCGGCCGCCTTTGTCTCTCCAGTGCTGATGCTGAGTACACAATGCACCAGTGAACTCATTTACGGCAGAGTCAACCAGGAGAAGCCCAGGACCGGTTAAAATATTCGCCACTGTCATTGGTCGTGAGCGGGAATTGAACTCGGGTGGCCAGGTTCGTATCACGGTGTGTCAACTGCTGCGGCACCGCTGGATTTGCCGTGCGGGTGTGGAGTGGTGCGTGTGGAGCGGTGCCGTGCGCGTGTGGAGTGGTGCGTGTGTGGAGTGGTGCGCGTGTGGAGTGGTGCGCGTGTGGAGTGGTGCGTGTGTGGAGTGCGTGTGGAGTGGTGTGTGTGTGGAGCGGTGCGTGTGGAGTGGTGCGTGTGGAGTGGTGCGCGTGTGGAGCGGTGCCGTGCGTGTATGGAGAGGTGCCGTGTGTGGAGTGGTGTGCGTGTGGAGTGGTGCGTGTGTGGAGCGGTGCCGTGCGTGTGTGGAGCGGTGCGTGTGTGGAGCGGTGCGTGTGGAGTGGTGTGCGTGTGGAGCGGTGCGTGTGTGGAGCAGTGCCGTGTTGCGTGTGGAGCGGTGAAGGCACCTGACAGCATGAAGAGATGCAGCTCGGTGCGGTCCTGGGCGTTGCGCGTGATCTTGGCCTGCAGCTTCTCCCGGCTCCACTCCTGGTCCAGGTTAAACTGCCTCAGCTTCTTCTCACTCACCTGGCCAGCACGGAGACAACAGCACGGAGATGACAACACGGAGACGCAGACGTTGTGACCGAAGACCAGCAAGAATTGTACGCGATTGTTCGGCTAAAAACGTTGCTTCCTTTATTCTGCAAAATGAATTTGCAAATACTGCTCGCATACTGAAATGTCAATCTATGTTGAATTTATTTCACACCGTACGTAGCCAACCGTGCTAATCGGAGGTTTGGTGGAAGGACAACGAAGCACAAAACACAGTTTCTAAATAAATGAGTTCGTCAATCTCGATGATGATTTGAAAGTGCACAGCTCCGGCGGCTTCCTAATATCGGAAGAGCGTTCCAGACGGCCGCCGAAGTGCATCTGAAAGCGCGCGATGCGGTGACCCATCTTTTGTTCTATGGCCAGCCAAAAGCCGCCGCTGCGAGGATGACCACCGGGGTTCACGTGACGGTCGATGCTCCTCGACGAGAATTGCCTCATACGAGCAGTGGGAAAATGACGCGATGGACTTCCCCCCCGTCCCCCGTCCCCCGTCCCATGTGCATATCGGATGGCTGTGTAAGCTACTCCCCATTACAACAGGCCATCGACAGCTTTCAAAGACAGAAAAGCAGCTGCCAATAGGCAACTAAATCGATCACATCCCACAGTGCCCACATCCCATAGATCATTGGCCCCAAAGTCGAGGTGGCGGCGACACTGCATGTGGCCTGTGATCCAGCACAGTGGAGGGCAACAAGGGTTGGTGAATCGCACGAAGAATGTGAAACTCCCTGCCCGTGCCTCTCTCTCCCTGTGGTCGCGTGGCCTTTTCTCCGGTCCTCCGTTTTGTCCCCTCCCCATTTAGAATCCACCGTGAGCCTCAGGGTATTGGGCTGCTGTCGATTTCGACTCGACGAGCCACTTCGTTGGGCGACCACTTGCGGCCAGGTCGCCTCTGAAAAAGGAGCCACATAGCTCGGCGGGCCTTAAACCGGTTAAGAAACTTAAAGGAAGGCAGCGATTACCTCGGAGAGGAAGACGGCGAACCTCTTGGCGTAGAGTCGGTCGTACTGGTCGGTGAGGTGCAGCAGGAAGGCAAAGTCGTTGCGCACGTCGGGAATGTCGCTGTAGCTGCTCTCCTCGCGCGCGTGCTCGAAGGAGTAGCCGCGCAGCGAGCGCCGCACCATCCACACCACGGTGTGCAGGCACACGAGCAGGTAGAAGAGCGTGACGGCCAGGTAGAACGACGCCAGGATCTGCGCGCACGCAACGCACCACGCAGCGGCGGTCACGCGCAAGCCTTGCGACGACGTGGCCGCGGCCACCGCACTCGCCTGCGGCACAGTAGGGGAGGGGGCGCTGCTGCTGCTGCTGTGTGATTCTAATGGACTATTATGTAGGTTATTCTTCAGTGTTGGGACGTGTCGCCAATACCAGATTTAACCGCTCAACCCGAACTATTCATACTTTGTTGCTTCTACCGCCTTTGCAGTTGTTCACTTTTTGGCGCTCCCTGGTCTAACAATGGTGAGACGAGGCCGTAAAGAAGAAGCCTGTATATATGGTGTAGGCCAATCAATTTAAAAGACAATGCAGACATTATCAGAGCACGTTTGTTTGCATGTTTTGCCACAAGTGCGTGTGCTTGATGCAGACCTCTGATGCCTTGCAGAAATAATCTATTTGGTGTTTGAACACCTCAACACCTCCTGTTTTATTGCCACAAAGGGGAAAGCATTTTGTTATTTTTGTTTGTCTCGATACCGGCAAAAAAGGTCCCATAGATACCGGTTACATCGCGCGGATGTGTTTTTAGCTGAAGGGGGGACTGGAGAGGCCGCAGGAAACCCATGCAGGACAGGGGTAGAACACACACACACACACACTCCACGCAGAAAGATGCCCGAGTCAGCAATCAAACCCAGGCCCGACTTGCTGCGAGGCACGGGGCGTTACCTCTGCACCGCCGCCACCCTGCCGCTCAATCGTCGCGATGGAGCGACTGCCTCTCTCGTGTGAGCGCGACTGTCGGTGAGAGTGAGTGGAGTGTGACTGTCGGTGAGAGTGAGTGGAGTGTGACTGTCGGTGAGAGTGAGTGGAGCGTGACTACCGGTGAGAGTGAGTGGGGTGCGACTGGCGGTGAGAGTGAGTGGAGCGCGACTGTTGGTGAGAGTGAGTGGAGTGCGACTGTCGGTGAGAGTGAGTGGGGTGCGACTGTCGGTGAGAGTGAGTGGAGTGTGACTGGCGGTGAGAGTGAGTGGAGCGCGACTGCCGGTGAGAGTGAGTGGAGTGCGACTGTCGGTGAGAGTGAGTGGAGTTTGACTGTCGGTGAGAGTGAGTGGAGTGCGACTGTCGGTGAGAGTGAGTGGGGTGCGACTGTCGGTGAAAGTGAGTGAGGTGTGACTGTCGGTGAGAGTGAGTGGAGTGTGACTGTCGGTGAGCGTGAGTGCAGCGCGACTGTCGGTGAGAGTGAGTGGAGTGTGACTGTCGGTGAGAGTGAGTGGAGTGTGACTGTCGGTGAGAGTGAGTGGAGTGTGACTGTCAGTGAGAGTGAGTGGAGTGCGACTGTCGGTGAGAGTGAGTGGAGTGCGACTGTCGGTGAGAGTGAGTGGAGTGTGACTGTCAGTGAGCGTGAGTGGGGTGCGACTGTCGGTGAGAGTGAGTGGGGTGCGACTGTCGGTGAGAGTGAGTGGAGTGTGATTGTCGGTGAGAGTGAGTGGAGTGTGACTGTCGGTGAGAGTGAGTGGAGTGTGACTGTCGGTGAGAGTGAGTGGGGTGCGACTGTCGGTGAGAGTGAGTGGAGTGCGACTGTCGATGAGAGTGAGTGGAGTGTGACTGTCGGTGAGAGTGAGTGGAGTGTGACTGTCAGTGAGAGTGAGTGGAGTGCGACTGTCGGTGAGAGTGAGTGGGGTGCGACTGTCGGTGAGAGTGAGTGGAGTGTGACTGTCGATGAGAGTGAGTGGAGTGCGACTGTCGGTGAGAGTGAGTGGAGTGTGACTGTCGATGAGAGTGAGTGGAGTGCGACTGTCGGTGAGAGTGAGTGGGGTGCGACTGTCGGTGAGAGTGAGTGGAGTGCGACTGTCGGTGAGAGTGAGTGGAGTGTGACTGTCGGTGAGAGTGAGTGGGGTGCGACTGTCAGTGACCGTGAGTGGAGTGTGACTGTCGGTGAGAGTGAGTGGGGTGTGACTGTCGGTGAGAGTGAGTGGAGTGCGACTGTTGGTGAGAGTGAGTGGAGTGTGACTGTCGGTGAGCGTGAGTGCAGCGCGACTGTCGGTGAGAGTGAGTGGAGTGTGACTGTCGGTGAGAGTGAGTGGAGTGTGACTGTCGGTGAGAGTGAGTGGAGTGTGACTGTCGGTGAGAGTGAGTGGAGTGTGACTGTCGGTGAGAGTGAGTGGAGTGTGACTGTCGGTGAGAGTGAGTGGGGTGCGACTGTCGGTGAGAGTGAGTGGAGTGTGACTGTCGGTGAGCGTGAGCGGAGTGTGAGTGTGAGTGTCGGTGAGCGTGAGTGTCGGTGAGCGTGCGAGCACCTTGAACAGCGTCGCGAGCGGGTGCGCACAGCAGAACGTGCCGTAGCCGGTAAGGTGGATGATGTCCGGGGCCGAGCACATCACGTCGAAGTTGATCTCTCGCACGCACCTGTGTGCACAGCGCATCGTCGTCACGTCACGAGAACTAAAACTCCTAAAACTGTTTTCATTTTAACCAAGGTAAGGCCCCACGTAGCCCTTTTTCAGGAGCGATCTGGCCACAAATGACAGCTCAACATGGTGGCGGCTTATCGCGTGGGATATTAAACGCATATTTCTAAATGTAGAGGAAAAAAGCGGAGGATCCGGAGAAAAATCCACGCGGTCATGGGGAAAGAGACATGCAAACTCCAAATATACAGGCATCAGGGTCGGGATCATCAAACCCACGACCCCCTGTATACCTGGCGAGGGAGTTAAAATCTCACCGCTGCAGCGCCCCAAACGCCCTGGACACACGCACGCACGCGCCGATAATCACCACGCGCGCACGCATTCACAAACACAGCGCCCACTCAGCAACCATTCCTGCATCTATATGACATCACACATCCCTGTTGGTTTACACGCCAGTGCGATTATCACCCTAATTTCATGCCAGTGTTCAACTTAATTAAAACTATGAACCGTTTTTTTTTAAGTAAATTGTTCGCGCCACCTTTACTTACGGGAATAAGCGTATTATCTTAAAGGTGATTTGTGTTTGTGCAATGCATTCGACTTCTTCTGTCATGCGGTTGTTTTTGCTTCGATTTCTATTGGCTCTGTTGTTGGTGACCCAGGTCAACTTGCTCTCTCGGGTCCCCGCTTGGTTACACAAAACACACTTCCACTCCGGGCACATTTACGCTCCGCATCGTGCGCACTGCACAGAATCTCAATGTGCAAAGTGTTTTCCGGGTAAATGTTTGGTGGGAATGGGCACTTTGACCGTAATGCCGAGTGCGTGGCGAGCTAGGCGACGTTCCGTAGCTCTTTGTTTTTAAGCATCGACGGGGAGTTCGGACGCCACTCGACGTGTAACAGAGAGCACACTGGCCTAATGAGAGGTCGGTGCACGTGAATCCTCACCGCAGCGAGTAGGCCAGCACGCACACCAGCTCCAGGGATTTGCACAGCGTTTGAGACATATACGATCTATGCACACACGCACACACGCAACCCAAAAGTTAAACGGTCGTTAATGAACACTGTGATGCTCTACATTGTCAACTCTCAGAACATGTTATCGGACCATCGTATGCCAATAAGATATTATTCATCATTAAAACGACTTCTTCTTGTCGTATGGCTGCTGATGTTAGATGCAGAGAAACAACTACGATTTCATATTCAGGTCGTCAAGCCAGCAGACAACCGCGTCAGGAGCAGCGGAGTGTATCGCAGTGATGTCTCCTTCGTATTTGCGGATCGGAGCATTTCGTCGTTGGATGTTTTTAGGTCTGTTCTGGGTGACCACAGTCGCACACAACTGGAAAGTTCTTAATTTTCCATTTGTGCTTCAGGTATCCACATCTGCCATGGTTTTTGTGCAGTGGATGCGGGTTTAGGGTGGACCATGAGCTTCGTGGAAGATCTAAAACCCTAGGAATAAAAAGACTGCAAATCCTGGATTCGGCAATCGTTCCGCGGACCACTTTCCCATGGCCTTGCGGAGACACCAGTGGTGTGCACAGCACGGACGGAGAGCCACCGCTTTCGAGGGCAAGACTCGTACAACTCTGATTATTGACAAATAATCGTGAATTTCATCGTTAAAATATACTACAAAGTGAATCGCAAAACCTTGTAGACGTTTACTACCACACTGGAACTCCCCTTGTCTGTAAAGATGCAGAGGTAATGACGGATAACAGAGCGGTGGCTGCATTGCAGAATGACGCGGCGACTTCCGCCTCACAACTTCGCTGGGTCTTTCCCTTGGTCAATGACCGCTTTATTTTTGTTGATTCAAAGCTTTCGTGGCTGCAGGGATTCATATTCTTGGTTCTTTCGGTAAAGCCACGTAGAAGGGCAACAATAATGATGATTGCTTGTGTTGCAGTCGAAACGTCGTGAGAATTTTATTGTTTTATATTTTTATTATTTTATTGTTTCCCTTCTACGTGACTTTACCGAAAGAACCAAGAATACGTTTTATTTTTGTTGGAACACTTCTTTACCCATCACTCTTTGTTCAGAAGGATTCTGAAAAGTTTTTCGCAGTAGGGGGCGATCAATGATTGCTTTGTAGATTCCAACTAAATCATTTGGGGGGTGTCACTTTTCAAATGTGGCAAATTTAGAAACTTTCGACTGGAACGCCCGGCACACAATGGTCTCGTCTTGCGAATGACGTCACGGGATCTTTAACGTCCACTGTGAAGCAGACGAGTGCGGAGTACTTGCTCTGGTCGTTACACACCGCAGTGATAAAACGGAGAGTGGAAGACCTAACAGAGGAGAGCTTGTGACGACGATGACATCATAAGAGCTTGGTGCCAGAAAGATGTGGCCACTGTTTGAGCATATTTCCACTGCAAGGCAAGAGAGGAAACTTGAAACAAATGACAAAAGGTGCAGTGGACACCTACGGCTATCTGCCCATGGATTGTGACGATGATGAACGCACGACCGCTGGACCGCTGCATCACCGGCCACTATCGATTGTAATCAACATGCACATGCTGTTGCGTGTGTAGTGGAGTAAACGATACGCATAGGAATTGGCCACATACAGTACATACAGACATACAAGGAGAGTGGGTCACATGAGGTCGAACAGGTGGTCGAGTCACGGGTGGCGTAAACAACCCGAAGTAATTAAAGGAGTCGTGGCACGAGGGCTGTGATTGGTCGAGAGGCTGTTAGCGTTAATTGGCGGCTTCCCGAAGTCTGACCGTTGGACAGGTGCGAGCTGGCGGGAAAATGCCAGCGAGCCACGTGGCAATTAATTAAGGCTAATGGGAAAGGGGATAAAACGCTAGGTGATTTGAACGGGGAGGGGAGTCGTTGTTGGGCAGTTGTTGGCGAGAGGTGGAGAAATACGAAGAGGACAGCTGGCAATGTTAGGGAAGAATAGATTGAGAGCCGAACCCAAGGACAGTAAATAGCGATAGGGAGAGTTAGCGTTAGCGGAGAGGTAGTTACGGGGGAGATAGGTACAGGAAGAGTTACAGATAGAGTAACTGTGTGTGCGGAGATAGATAGAGTCACTGCGTGTGAAGAGATAGCGGAGACACTGTGTGTGAGGAGATAGAGGGAGAACCACTGTGTGTGGAAGGGGATGAGCGGACGGTGCTGAGGTGAATTGGAGTGTCGGAGTTGGCGGAGCGTGAAGGGGAGAATCACCGTGTGTACGGAACGATGGAATAAAAGTGACGGTGGAAGAAGACGGTTGTCATCCGAGTGAATTCACGGCACTACACGTGCATAATTTAATGGTAAGAAGGCCTTCTCGGTAGCTGCTGCCTCGTTGTGGATTCGCTATCGTCGCATTCCATTTGGGAATTAAATCATTGATGCAGCTGTCGTAAATAATTGGCGGAGAACAGTGGGCCAGAGTCTGTGCGAATCACGCTTAGGGTTCCCAGTTACCGATTTTGTTCGCGTCGTTAAAGCGACATTTAGTTTTGCTCCTTTATTTCTGTTCGTTGCACAATGTTTTTTCACCAGTTCTATGTTCCTGTAGCATGTGAAGCACGTACCGATACTCCCTGTTTTGTATCGCAACCTACGTAACCATAGTTGTGGAACTAAGATCTGTACCGTATAATATCTGGACCAGCGCAGCTCACTGGGCCCATCCTGCTGAAATAGATAAAATCTATTCCAGGTAAGGCCCCTCTGAGCTCTATGGCTCTTTTTCAGAAGTGACCTGGCCACAAATGGTAGCTCAACAAAGTGGCTTATCACATGGAAATTTATAGCAGCCAAATACTCTAAACGCGTGTTTGCAAATGTAGAGGGAATAAACCGGAGTACCCGAAGAAAAATCGACGCGACCACGGAGAGAACACGCAAACTCCAAACACGCAACAGGCGTCAGGGTCAGGATCGGACCCACGACCCGGTGAGGCAGTTAACATCTTGCCCCTGACGCGATGTCCAGGGCACGGCGAGAGCCTCGAACCTGTAGATGACGTCAGACTCCTCGATGTGAGCCCTGAGCTTCTTCACTTTCTCAAAGATGGCCTTTGCCTGCTCCGCCTCCTTCTTGTCCAGCGAGCCGAGCACGTCCACCGACGCTGCAGACGCCGCCGACGCCGCCGCCGCCGCGGCCATCGCCTGGTTTTGGAAATTCACGTTCTGGGCCTGAGCCTCGTCGTGGCCCTGGGTGCCGTTGTGCGCGCGTCCCGGTGCGCCGTGCTGCGCCACCTTGCGCTGGTGCACGGACGAGGTGGGCGAGTGAGCCAGCATGGGCGCCCGCGCCTCCACGTCGTCCGACGCCCGGTACGAGGGGGGCGGCGCTGCGGCCGCCGACGCCGCCGACATCTGCGAGTGCGTCGGCGGCGGCGGCGGCGGCCTGGGGTCGAAGCCGGCGCCGGGGCCACTGTTGGCGCCGGGCGGCACCCCGCCGAAGTTGGAGCTGCCGCCGCCGGCTTGGTAGCTCATGGACGACGGGGAGAGGGTGTGTGCCCGCGGGGTGCCGCCGCCGTTGCCCGCGTGCGGCGATGACGACTCGGTGGCCACGGTTTCCGAGAGGGCGCGAGTCGTCCACGGGGAGTCGAAGCACTTGCCCAGGATCGCTACGAAGTGCTCGATCTTGGAGCTCGTCTTTGGGTACTGTGGGTGGGGAGGGGGGGAGGGCAGGGAGGCACGCCATGGCGCAACGTCGTCTTCACCGCACGTTCGGCCATCAGAGTTGCGGACGAGTAGGGTTGCGTGCATGCGTGCGTGCGTGCAAATTCACGTGGTAGTTTTATTCGACATTCTCATGGCGGGCACTACTTTCACCATTGACCAACCGCTATTGCGTTCTCCACTTAGTGGTGCTACACATATTTTATCCACCCTAGAGGGATGATGGGCTGAGTTAACCACCCAAACAAGATATGAACTCGCAACCTTCCAACTGGGATCCGCTCGATCTCCCGCTGAGCTACCTGCAGGTCGGTTGTAATAAAAGCAGAACCGTTTAAAACTTCTCCAAGATCAGTGAGGCTGGGTAAATAAGTGCAACAGTAATAATAATAGAAGCAAGATCGGCCTCTGTGAAGGTTCATAAAGGACGCTATGGGGCAGTTGGAGGCAGCTGCCCTGCAGCACAACAACAGAGCGCAGAGGAGTGATGCTCACAACAACGAGCGGAGCGCTGGGTGGCTAAAACGTAGCAAGTTGGCCCAGTGAGGAACACAGCTGATGCATCTGCCAAGTCATCTCGGTCAGTCAACCCACGGCACTTGGGCCCGTCCCGTGACCGCCTGCCAGCAAGCGTTCGACGCTTCACGTGGCCCCATAGTGCACCTGGCCTAAAACAGGCGCCGTGGTGACATCATTGCCGCTCAGTGGCGAACGGCAGCTGCCGCCGCTGTCGTGATTGTGAGTCGGTGATTGCGGGCCAGGTGTTGTGAACGGGCCTCGCTCAGTCGCTGCTAGGTCGCCGCGTCGCCCCGACGGCACTCACCTTGAACCAGAAGTTGCTGAGCACCAGCAGCAACAGGGTGTGCAGCAGCACCAGGTAGGGGAAGTACTTGGCGTACCAGTGCAGCTGCTTCTCATAGCACACGGCGTCGATGTAGAAGTACTGGTGTCTGTCCAGCTCCGTCTTCACCGCCTTGGGCCCCGGCCGGGCGACGACGGCTTCGGCGCTCGGAGGGGCCGCCCCGGCGCCGGGCCCTCCGGGCTGGCCGCGGGAGGTCGGCGTGGGGAGCGCGCCGGGGATGGTGTTGGAGTCGGGGTCCAGCGAGGGGTCGGAGCCGTCGTCGGCGTCGTCGGCGTCGTCGGCGGTGGCGGCGGCGGAGGCGGCGCCGCCGGCCGTCGGGCCCTCGGCGGGGGCCCGGAGTGACCCGGCGTGCTGGGCGCTGACGGCGAGCTGCTCCGGGCCGAGGCGGCTGCTGGCGTTGCAGTCGCGAGCTGTGCTGGCGTCGTGCGTGCACGTGCACTCGCAGGCGTGCACGCACGGCAAGCACACCATCTTGTCCTGGCTCACCTGCGTGGGAGTGAGCGAGAGAGTGGAGCGAGTGTGATCGAGGGCGAGCGGGTGAATTTTGGTTGGACACGTGTAAATGGAGAGTTTGACAAAGTGGGGAACAGGCAAACATTCATTGGGGTTGCTGCTGTAACAGATCATTCTCATAGAGAATCCGTGTCCACGCCACCTTGGGTAGAGTGTATGTTTATCACGGTAAAAAGGCACTTGTGCAAGCCTTCCGTAGACGAACGGGCACCACGGGGGGCACAATGGGGGCACGATGGGGGCACGAGTGACATTGGCAGCGTGCATGGCTCAATGCACTACGGCTTCGGGTAGAACCGTAGTGCATTGTAGCGCATTGTAGCAACGTGCTACAGTGTGCTACACAGGTAGCACACTGTAGCACATTGCTACGCAGGTCCATGACCGTGGCACGGGGTCCCACTAGGTTGGTTCAGCCTAAAGTTATTATCTGCCGTGATGTATCACCATCAGCACCGTAGGCATATAACCTTACGGGCTCTGTGTGGCCTTTATAGCAGCTGCTATCTGGAACCACCAGCACGGTACTCTGCCGACCCCATCCAGAATACATGTGCCAGTGTCCTGAAACCCCGAACCCCTCATGCAGAAAAAAATCACCCTCTTCCTGGCTCACTTCACTGGTTGCCCGTTACATTCCGGCATTGATCTCACACCTCCGTAAATTCAGGCGTTGCCGCGTCCCTGCGTTCCATGAAGAACTCTGAGGTGGTTGCATCCCCAGAACGAAACGCGCGTTTAAGAATATTTGGCTGCTATAAATGTCCAGGTGATAAGCCGCTTCGTTGCGTTATCATTTGCGACAGCCAGGTCATGTCTGAGAAGGAGCTGCAAAGCAGCACAGTGGGCCTTACCTGGTAAAATAACAAAACAATTGTTTAGTATAGTCAGTTAGAAGCTCAAGTCCATGGGCGACCTTGGGGTCATTCGCTTCCGTGGCACCCGGATTGAGGAACTCTCTACACCGAAGGCTGTCACGGAGTCCTACTTGAACTTGGAGCCACGTCTTACCCAATCCCAACACCCCATTGTCATTGATGCAAAGCGCCTTGAGATTTTATGAAAGGTGCTCCTATAAAATCCATAATAATAATCATCATAATAATTATCTAAACGGGCACTGAGCAAGCGGAATACACGGCGTTGTTCACGCCTGTACACGACCAGAAAACCCATCACGAACCGAAACATTAACGCTCCTGGAAAACGGGCAGATTTAAAAACAGCGACACGCCGGTGTGCAGCACTGCAACATACAATCACAGCCTCATCTAGACCACTGGCTTAAAGGAACCGCACGTTGGGCAGTGTCGTCCTTTTTACATCACCAGCTCGCGAGTTCAGAAACTGTGGCCGTCCCAGGCAGGCAGTGATGAGACCGGGACACAACTCTCGGCCAGTGTCATCCTCATCGGGGTCCGGGTTTGCGCGCGAGCGTGCGTAAGGGTGCCCACGAGCTTCGGTGTACGTGCCTGCAGGGTTCCGCCAAACACAGCAATCATCAGCATGACGATGGCCAGGTAGTCCGTGAGCACGTCCCACCACGGCTTGAGGATGCGGTAGGCGGGTTGAGTGTCAGCAAAATACCGCAGCTCCGTTACGGGTATCATGGCTGCACACACACACACATAAACAAACACACACACACCAAGACATAAAAACACTAAGTGGCGGTGATGTTGCCATGGTGCTTGTGCCAGGCTAGGTGCACTTTGAGGCGACGTGAAGTGTCGACGGCCTGCTGGAACAGACCCAGTTTTCATGGGTTGACTGAGATGACTGACAGATGCACCAACTGTGCTCCTAACTTTATAAACTTTCTGTGTTTTAGCCGCCCGGCGCTCTGCTCGTTGTTCTGAGCGTCGCTCATCTGCCCTCCGTTGTTGTTGGAGGAAGCAGCGTCCTTCACAAACCTCCTCCACAGAGGCCGACCCTGACACTGCTGGTACCAGTGACTGCCCACAACAGTTCATCTCTTCTCTAGCCCGTGATGTGGCTGTTTAGCCCCATCTATCTGGCAAAACTGAAGATGCTTGGGTATGCGGTGGCTGTGGATTTGGGCTACATGACTCAGCCAACACAACCTCGGTTGCCAGGGCTCACTGATGGTACAATGTCCAGATCCTTCAATGATTTGTGGGTTCCTCACAAAATTCAGTCTGGTTAAACCCAGGATAGATTGTAGGCAGGCCAGCCTGAATATTTCAAACTCGCAAGCATACAGGGGCATAACTCTGGCCGAGAAGACCCTGAGCTTTGTATGGAGTGACAGGCTAGGTAGTTTCCACACAGGATTACATAGCTGATGAACAGCTAATGCCGGTCGATTGATTCGGAGCGAGACTTCGGCTGCTAAACCAGAGCTGGTCAAATCAGAGCACACTTGCCAAGTATAGAAACTTCTCCACAACTGCTCCATCACTCATGGCAAGCTGAGGAAGGTGAGCATTTGATGACATAAAATACCCAGGCAGATCCTTTGTTTTTGTAGGGTTGATGTAAGGCCCCGTCTCTTAATAGCATGCTCCAGGTTTAGCAATAGCATCTCCAACTCCTTCTCAGAGTGGGCAGCAATCATCAGATCATCTGCGTACATAATACAACTAATAAGGAGCCATCCCTTGATCACACTCGGGCATCCATCAGCCTCCCATTTTATCCATAACATATTCTATCGGTACAACTTCTCGAACTATGTGGTCAAAGAAGATGTTAAATAGTGTAGAGACCAGAGGATATCACTAATGCAACCCAAAGTGAATGGAAAATGGTTTCGAAAATCCGGCCATGCAACTTTACCCGGGCCTGCCCACCATCATGAACGGTCCTCAATGATTGCGAGCAGACGGTCTGGGACTCCAAAAGCACGAAGACATAAACACCCACAGACACCAATACTCGCACACACAGGAAATAAAAAAAATAGGTATGAAAACCAAGGAATACTGCAAAGTCTTATCTGGAGGGTTCTGCCAGGTATACGCGGTAAAGGGCGATGTTGCAATGTGTAATCACAATTGAGTAGTTTGCAAGTCATCATCTTTCAGCACTGGGATATTTTTTTTTGCTAATCTTATTCTTCTTGTTCTTGCGGACGGCGATTCAAAACAAACGTTGATCACCGTTCCATGGCGAGGTGCGGCAACCAAATCTACGGCTCCCGGGGTAGCAAGGTGGATCGCCGCTGTTCCTCTGGGAAACGCATGCACTGAGCACTCACTGGCGACGTCAATCATGGACTGTAGCTCACCACATTCGCAGACTGCCGAGTCCTTTAGGCCTACAGCAGTTGCAATGGATGTTGTTAGGTCTGGGAGCAAACCGGAAAACCCAGAGGAAACCCATGCAGAACAAAGACAAAGGCACCCCTTACAGATTGAACAGACTTTTGGGGCAAGTGCTGTTCGCGAGCAGCGGCACCTATGAAGGACGGCACGGCACACGAGGGGGTAGGCGGCCAGCACCACGCTTGGCCCTCATTGCCTCCCTAGTAGCGATGTTAACACACCGCACCAGGCACTAACTCCCCACACCTCCGATTAACACAGGTGGCTACGTACGGTGCGAAAGACGCTCAACATACATTCATATATTGAGGCTGAGTCGACCTAGGAGAGGCCCAGGACCGGTTCGGATAATCGTCACTGGTGTTGGCCGTGAGCGGGAATCGAAATCGGGTCACCGGGTTCGGAGCGCAACCCGCTAACCGCTGCACTACCGCTCCCCCTAGAGCAGGGGTCGGTGGGGGGGGAGAGAACGTACAAAGTGTTACCACTGCGGGACCACCCTGGGCGCCTGCTTTTTATTTTTTTCGCACTGGCGCCAAACGCCACCACGGCTGATGTAGTGGTGCCAGCGATGGGCTAGGGGGATTTCAAACAGCTGTGCGAGACGCCTCACACAGCGGTAGGCACGACGCCGGCTGAACCTTCGTTTGCGAGAAGATGATCACTGTCTCGGTGGGCTTCTCGCTCGCTATAAATAGATTTTGGTGGATTCATGAATGTGCACGTGCCTTCAAGAGCTGGAACCTGCCCCCAGGGCTTGCATGGTATTGCTCTTGCTCTTGGTGAAGGCCTCAAATGCGACTCCTCAGGAAGAGATGGGTGTGGCGAGGTTGCAATAGTGCTCACGGCTCCCTGAGCAATCTAATGTTCAATTGTTTATTAATTATGCTTGCTTATGCAGGAAAGCCTCACTCAGGACACTTTATCAGGAGGGCTTTGCCAAGTTTTCGCAGGAGGGGGCAATAGTTGGTATGTGTATTCCAATTAAGTAATTTGTAGGGATATTTCTTTTATATTTTGGCAGATTTGGACCATTAACAATGTCCCGTTCCGTGAAGTCTGCAAGTTGCCGAGTGGGTGTCACGTTCACCGCTGAATCTCAGAACACGTAAGCGATTAGCGTTAATTTTATTTAGAGAGGCGTAACAGCGCTGTTGTTTTTAAGGACATTGTACTCACCGTAGAGAACTGTAGCGACACGACCGCACTCTACGATGGTTGGCGCCAAACTGTGCCACACGCCCACCCGCATGGCCTTGTGCGAGTCTCGGTACCGATAAAGTCATGAAATTTGTTCTTCCGGTTTCGTTTTGAAGACGTGCATTTACATTATCGGAACGGGAAAGGGTTAAAGCGTTTAATGCAACACCGACTGGCCTACAACACCCCTGATGGCCTACGGAACAAATTGTGATTCAAATCCTCAAATGACGAGAAAACCCCTTCGCAAAAACTATGCAGCATCCAACATGACCAGCGAACAACGCAGCGAGGGCCGCTTCCAACCAAGCACTGTGGGAAACCGGACAACCTCCTTTGAGTACCAAGTGAGTATCAAGTGAATGTTAGTTGCGTGAAAAAACGATGCACATTCACCAATGAAACTGTGGCCGATGGGCAATGGCACATTATTAACATAATGTGCGCTGTGAGGAAGGGCCGCTGCCCCGAAACTTCACCCACGATGTACGGGTTCCTTTACTGTGTGCCGTTGAGTGACGGTCCTCCGTAATGGTGTTGAACTCAGCTCCTCTGTTGTGTGTGGTTGAGTGACGGTCCTCTGTGACGGTGTTGAATTCAGCTCCTCTGTTGTGTGTGGTTGAGTGACAGTCCTCTGTGATGGTGTTGAACTCAGCTCCTCTGTTGTGTGTGGTTGAGTGACGGTCCTCTGTGACGGTGTTGAACTCGGCTCCTCTGTTGTGTGTGGTTGAGTGACCGTCCTCTGTGACGGTGTTGAACTCAGCTCCTCTGTTGTGTGTGGTTGAGTGACGGTCCTCTGCGACGGTGTTGAACTCGGCCCCTCTCTGTAACATGACCAGCACCGTCCTAGGCACCCACCTGTTGCTGCTGCTGCCGCCGCCGCCGCCGCTGCTGCTACCGCTGCTAGACGCGTGCAGCCCACGGATCATGCGTGCGCATGGCCGGGACAGGTGCGCTGTGTTGCTGCTGCGGGACGGGCCGCTGGTGATCAGCTCCCAACCATGTACTTAATGTCACCTGCAGGGCCAACATCAAAGCAGCATCAGCTACAGCAGCATCAGCGTTGCAGTGCTGATATGATGCCAAGTACGTTCAACCGATGATACAAGCCTCTAGATACTGCACGGCACTTGTGCCAGGCTTGGTGCACCTTGAATCTCACTCTCTCACACCGCGCACTTTCACGCACGCTCTTACTTGCTCTCACACTCTCACGCTCGCACACTCTCACGCTCGCACAAAGGACCCCCCCCCCCCCCATTGTAGCATGAACAGCCGTTTGGGGCACGTGCTGTTAGCGAGCACCTATTAAGGCCGGCACGGCACACGAGGAGGTGGGTGGCCAGCACCGCGCTCGGCCGCCTCTGCCTCCCGAGTAACGACGAGCACCTCCAAACGAAGTTGTTCGAAATCTGGGCCACGGTGTGGCCACGCAAATGGCCTACTCTCCCTTCGAATAACGTCACGGGACATTTCACATCCACTGCGTAGTGGTGATATTTAACGGTGAATGCGCGCACGCGCGCGCACACACAGCCAATAAGCAGGGCGATCGCCGGATTCGGAACCGCGAACCTCTGCAGCGAGTCGGAGACTGCGCGGCCACTGGGGCCGCGTCAGCGCCCCCAACGCGCTCGGCCAGGCGCGGCAGAGTCTGCCAGGTTCAATAATCCTTCTGTGTAGGGCCAGCAGCCCAGCCGCCGGGACACGTGTGCGCTGATGGTCCCACGCGGTGAGCGTGGAGGTCAGAGCGGGGGTTGCGTGCGGCATGGCAAGTGCCGCCACATCTGTGATATCACAGGAGGCTCCTCGGTGCAGCAAGGAGCCTCGTAAATAACTGGAGCACAGAGTTCTTTCAGTCACTCTCACACACTCACACACTCTCTCTCACACTCTCACACTCTCTCACACACTCTCTCACACTCTCACAATCACACTCTCTCACACTCTCACACACTCTCTCACACTCTCACACACTCTCTCACACTCTCTCACACTCTCACACACTCTCACAATCACACTCTCTCACACTCTCACAATCACACTCTCACACACTCTCACACACTCTCACAATCACACTCTCACACACTCTCACAGACACTCACACACTCTCACACACTCACACACTCTCTCACACTCTCTCACACTCACACACTCACACACTCACACTCTCACACTCTCACACACTCTCACACTCACACACTCACACACTCACACTCTCTCACACTCACACACTCACACACTCACACTCTCACACACTCTCTCACACTCTCTCACACTCTCTCACACTCTCACACACTCTCTCACACTCTCACACTCTCTCACACTCACACACTCACACACACTCTCTCACACTCACACACTCTCACACTCACACACTCACACTCTCACACACTCTCACACTCTCACACTCACACACACTCTCACACTCACACAGACTCTCACACTCACACACTCTTTCACACTCTCTCACACTCTCTCACACTCTCACACACTCTCACACACTCTCACACTCACACTCTCTCACACTCTCACACACTCTCACACTCACACACTCTCTCACACTCTCACACACACTCACACTCAGACTCTCTCACACTCACACTCTCTCACACACTCACACTCTCACACACTCTCACACTCTCACACACTCTCACACACTCACACACACTCACACACTCTCACACTCTCACACTCTCTCACACTCACACACTCACACACTCTCACACACTCTCACACACTCTCACACACACTCACACACTCTCACACACACTCTCACACTCTCACACTCTCTCACACTCACACACTCACACACTCACACACTCTCTCACACTCTCACACTCACACTCTCACACTCTCACTCTCTCACACACTCTCTCACACACTCTCTCACACTCTCTCACACACTCTCACACTCTCACACACTCACACACACTCTCACACTCTCACTCTCTCACACTCTCTCACACTCACACACTCACACACTCTCACACACACTCACACACTCTCACACTCACACACACTCTCACACTCTCTCACACTCTCACACACTCTCTCACACTCTCACACTCTCACACTCTCACTCTCTCACACACTCTCTCACACTCTCACACTCTCTCTCTCACTCTCTCACTCTCTCTCACTCTCACACTCTCTCACACTCACACTCTCACACTCACACTATCACACTCACACTATCACACTCACACTGTATCACTCTCTCTCACACTCACACTCTCTCACACTCTCACACTCTCACACTCTCTCACACTCTCTCACACTCTCTCACACTCTCACACTCTCTCTCACTCTCTCACACTCACACACTCACACTATCTCACACTCTCACACTCACACTGTCTCACTCTCACACACTCACACACTCACACCCTCTCACACTCACACACTCACACACTCACACTCTCACACACTCTCTCACACTCTCTCACACTCTCTCACACTCTCTCACACTCTCACACTCTCTCACACTCACACACACTCTCTCACACTCACACACTCTCACACTCACACACTCACACACTCACACTCTCACACACCCTCACACTCTCACACTCACACACACTCTCACACTCACACAGACTCTCACACTCACACACTCTCTCACTCTCTCACACCCTCACACACTCTCACACTCACACACTCTCTCACACTCTCACACACACTCACACTCAGACTCTCTCACACTCACACACTCTCACACACTCACACTCTCACACACTCTCACACTCTCACACACACTCTCACACTCTCTCACACTCACACACACTCTCTCACACTCACACACTCTCACACTCACACACTCACACACTCACACTCTCACACACCCTCACACTCTCACACTCACACACACTCTCACACTCACACAGACTCTCACACTCACACACTCTCTCACTCTCTCACACCCTCACACACTCTCACACTCACACACTCTCTCACACTCTCACACACACTCACACTCAGACTCTCTCACACTCACACACTCTCACACACTCACACTCTCACACACTCTCACACTCTCACACACACTCTCACACTCTCACTCTCTCACACTCTCTCACACTCACACACTCACACACTCTCACACACTCTCACACACACTCACACACACTCACACACTCTCACACTCACTCTCACACTCACTCTCACACTCTCACACTCACACACACTCTCACACTCACACAGACTCTCACACTCACACACTCTCTCACACTCTCTCACACTCTCACACACTCTCACACACTCTCACACTCTCACACACTCTCACACTCTCTCACACTCTCACACACACTCACACTCAGACTCTCTCACACTCACACACTCTCACACACTCACACTCTCACACTCTCTGACACTCTCTCACACTCTCACACACTCTCTCACACTCTCACACTCACACACACTCTCTCACACTCACACACTCTCACACTCACACTCTCACACACTCTCACACTCTCACACTCACACACACTCTCACACTCACACAGACTCTCACACTCACACACTCTCTCACTCTCTCACACTCTCACACACTCTCACACTCACACACTCTCTCACACTCTCACACACACTCACACTCAGACTCTCTCACACTCACACACTCTCACACACTCACACTCTCACACACTCTCACACACTCTCACACTCTCTCACACTCACACACTCTCACACACTCTCACACACACTCACACACACTCACACACTCTCACACTCACTCTCACACTCTCACACTCACACACACTCTCACACTCACACAGACTCTCACACTCACACAGACTCTCACACTCACACACTCTCTCACACTCTCACACACTCTCACACTCTCACACACTCTCACACTCTCTCACACTCTCACACACACTCACACTCAGACTCTCTCACACTCACACACTCTCACACACTCACACTCTCACACACTCTCACACTCTCACACACTCACACACACTCTCACACTCTCACTCTCTCACACTCTCTCACACTCACACTCTCACACACTCTCACACACACTCACACACACTCACACACTCTCACACTCACTCTCACACTCTCACACTCTCTCACACTCACACTCTCACACACTCTCTCACACTCTCACACTCACACTCTCACACTCTCACTCTCTCACACACTCTCTCACACTCTCACACTCTCTCTCTCACTCTCTCTCACTCTCACACTCTCTCACACGTCTCACTCTCACACGTCTCACTCTCACACGTCTCACTCTCACACGTCTCACTCACACACGTCTCACACTCACACGTCTCACACTCACACGTCTCACCCTCACACGTCTCACGTCTCACACGTCTCACTCTCACACGTCTCACTCTCACACACGTCTCACTCTCACACACGTCTCACACTCGCACGTCTCTTACTCACACGTCTCTCACTCACACGCCTCTCACTCACACGTCTCACACTCACACTCACACGTCTCACACTCTCACGTCTCACTCTCACACGTCTCACTCTCACACGTCTCACTCTCACACGTCTCACACTCACACGTCTCACTCTCACACGTCTCACACTCACACGTCTCTCACTCACACGTCTCACTCTCTCACGTCTCACTCTCACACGTCTCACATTCACACGTCTCACGCTCTCACGTCTCACACTCACACGTCTCACTCTCACACGTCTCACACTCACACGTCTCTCACTCACACGTCTCACTCTCTCACGTCTCACTCTCACACGTCTCACACGTCTCTCACTCACACGTCTCACTCTCACACGTCTCACTCTCACACGTCTCTCACTCACACGTCTCACTCTCACACGTCTCACTCTCACACTCACACGTCTCACACGTCTCTCACTCACACGTCTCTCACTCACACGTCTCACACTCACACGTCTCTCACTCACACACGTCTCACTCTCACACGTCTCACTCTCACACGTCTCACACGTCTCTCACTCACACGTCTCACTCTCACACGTCTCACTCTCACACGTCTCTCACTCACACATCTCACTCTCACACGTCTCACTCTCACACTCACACGTCTCACACGTCTCTCACTCACACGTCTCTCACTCACACGTCTCACACTCACACGTCTCTCACTCACACACGCCTCACTCACACACGCCTCACTCTCACACGTCACACTCACACGTCTCACACTCACACATCTCACTCACACGTCTCACTCTCACACGTCTCACTCTCACACGTCTCTCACTCACACGTCTCACTCTCACACGTCTCACTCACACGTCTCACTCACACGTCTCACTCTCACACGCCTCACTCACACACGTCTCACTCACACACGTCTCACTCACGTCTCACACTCACACGTCTCACACTTACACGTCTCTCACTCACACGTCTCTCACTCACACGTCTCACACTCACACGTCTCACACTCACACACGTCTCACTCACGTCTCACTCTCACGTCTCACACTCACACGTCTCACTCTCACACGTCTCACTCTCACACGTCTCACTCTCACACGTCTCACACGTCTCTCACTCACACGTCTCACTCACACACGTCTCTCTCACACGTCTCACACTCACACACGTCTCACTCTCACACACGTCTCACACTCACACACGTCTCACACTCACACGTCTCTCACTCACACGTCTCACACTCACACGTCTCACTCTCACACGTCTCACACTCACACACGTCTCACTCTCACACGTCTCACACTCACACGTCCTACACGTCTCACTCTCACACGTCTCACTCGCACACGTCCCACACTCACACGTCTTACTATCACATCTCACACTCACACGTCTCACTCTCACACAACTCACACTCACACACGTCTCACTCACACACGTCTCACTCACACACGTCTCACTCACACGTCTCACTCACGTCTCACACTCACACGTCTCTCACTCACACGTCTCTCACTCACACGTCTCACACTCACACGTCTCACTCTCACACACGTCCCTCACTCACACGTCTCACTCTCACACGTCTCACACTCACACACGTCCCTCACTCACACGTCTCACTCTCACACGTCTCACACTCACACACGTCTCACTCTCACACGTCTCACTCTCACACGTCTCACGCTCACACACGTCTCACACTCACACGTCTCACACACGTCTCACTCTCACACGTATCACTCTCACACGTTTCACACACGTCTCACTCTCACACACGTCTCACACTCACACGTCTCACTCTCACACAAGTCTCACTGTCACACGTCTCACTCACACACGTCTCACTCACACACGTCTCACTCACACACGTCTCACTCACACGTCTCTCACTCACACGTCACACTCACACGTCTCACTCTCACACGTCTCACTCTCACACGTCTCACACTCACACGTCTCACTCACGTCTCACAGTCACACGTCTCACACTCACACGTCTCACCCTCACACGTCTCACCCTCACACGTCTCACACTCACACGTCTCACTCACGTCTCACTCACGTCTCACACTCACACGTCTCACACTCACACGTCTCACTCTCACACGTCTCACTCTCACACGTCTCACACTCACACACGTCTCACTCACGTCTCACACACGTCTCACACTCACACGTCTCACACTCACACGTCTCACTCTCACACGTCTCACACTCACACACGTCTCACTCTCACACACGTCTCGGGCAAGAAGGCCCACTGAGCCTCGCTCTGTAAACAGCCACGCCCCGTGGATAAATGAAGCAGATAATTCTCAGCGCTTTTGTCCAGCAGCGCAGAACAACACAGAGCACGGGGCTCCAGTACACAACATCGTGTAGCCCGTCACAGGCTGTTGGGGCAAGTGCTGTTAGCGAGCACCTATTAAGGCCGGCACGGCACACGAGGCCAGCAAGGGTGGCCAGCAACCACGCCCGGCCGCCTTTGTCTCCCCAGTGGTGATGTGTGCACACAGCACCGGCTACTCATTTTAGGCTCAGTCGACCTAGGGGAGGCCCAGGACCGGTTCAGATATTCGCCCCAGCACACACACACACATAACACTTTACATACACAACTCAGACCACAGCATATACACAACCTAGTACACAACACACACAAAACCCAGTACTGTAAATAACACACACACAAGCCAGTACACAACACACACAAGCCAGTACTGTACACAACACACACCACCCAGTACTGTACACAACACACACAAGCCAGTACTGTACACAACACACACAAGCCAGTACTGTACACAACACACATAAGCCAGTACTGTACACAACACACACAAGCCAGTACTGTACACAACACACACAAGCCAGTACTGTACATAATACACACAAGCCAGTACTGTACACAACACACACACAAGCCAGTACTGTACATAATACACAGAAAACCAAGTACTGTACATTACACACAAGCCAGTACTGTACACAACACACACAAGCATGTATTGTACACAGCACACACAACACAGTACTGTACATAACACACACAACACAGTACTGTACATAACACACAACCCAGTACACAACACACAACACAGTACACAACACAGTACACAACCCAGTACACAACCCACAACACAGTACACAACACAACACAGTACACAACAAACAACCCAGTACACAACACAACACAGTACACAACCCAGTACACAACCCACAACACAGTACACAACAAACAACCCAGTACACAACACAACACACAACACAGTACACACAGTACACACAACCCACAACACAGTACACACAGTACACAACACAACACAGTACACACAGTACACACAACCCACAACACAGTACACACAGTACACAACCCAGTACACAACACAACACACAACACAGTACACACAGTACACACAACCCACAACACAGTACACACAGTACACAACCCAGTACACAACACAACACACAACACAGTACACACAGTACACAACCCACAACACAGTACACACAGTACACACAACACAGTACACACAGTACACAACACAGTACACACAGTACACAACACAGTACACAACACAACACACAGTACACACAGTACACAACACAGTACACAACACAAAGTACACACAGTACACAACACAGTACACACAACACAGTACACACAGTACACAACCCAGTACACAACACAAAGTACACACAGTACACAACACAGTACACACAACACAGTACACAGTGTACACACAGTACACAACACAGTACACACAGTACACAACAAACAACCCAGTACACAACACACTACACAGTACACACAACCCACAACACAGTACACACAGTACACAACACAGTACACAACACAACACACAACACAGTACACAGTACACACAACCCACAACACAGTACACAACACAGTATACAACACAGTACACAACACAACATGGAATAAGAGAGAGACAAAAACTCTTACCTCGCCGCCGGATGAGTAGAGACGAGGAGGAGGGTGACGAGGTGGAGGGAGACGAGGTGGAGGGTGACGAGGTGGAGGGTGAAGAGGAGGGTGAAGAGGAGGAGGGAGACGAGGTGGAGGAGGGTGACGAGGTGGAGGGTGACGAGGTGGAGGAGGGTGACGAGGTGGAGGAGGGTGACGAGGTGGACGAGGTGGAGGAGGGTGACAAGGTGGAGGAGGGAGACGAGGTGGAGGAGGGTGACGAGGAGAAGGGTGACGAGGTGGAGGGAGACGAGGTGGAGGAGGGTGACGAGGTGGAGGAGGGTGACGAGGAGGAGGGTGACGAGGTGGAGGTGGGTGACGAGGTGGAGGGTGACGAGGTGGAGGAGGGTGACGAGGTGGAGGGTGACGAGGAGGGTGACGAGGAGGAGGGAGACGAGGTGGAGGAGGGTGACGAGGTGGAGGAGGGTGACGAGGTGGAGGAGGGTGACGAGGTGGAGGGTGAAGCGGGGTCCGAGGTCGGGGCGCGGAGCGAGGAGGCCCGAGGAATCGCGACGAGAATCGCGCCGAATCGCGATCGAAAGTCCATTGGTCGGAATCGGATTTCCCAAGGAGCAGAATCGAAAAATGCAGTGGTGCTGCGAATCGCGAGCGTGAAGTCGAAATCGGAATCGATTGTGGTTTTAATAACGAACCAGATGAGAGAGACACTGGGAGAGAGACACTGGGGGAGAGACACTGGGGGAGAGAGACACTGGGGGAGAGACACTGGAGGAGAGAGACACTGGGGGAGAGACACTGGGGGACAGAGACACTGGGGGAGAGAGACACTGGGAGAGAGACACCGGGGGAGAGACAATGGGGGAGAGAGACACTGGGAGAGAGACACTGGGGGAGAGAGATACTGGGGGAGAGAGACACTGGGGGAGAGAGACACTGGGAGAGAGACACTGGGAGAGAGACACTGGGGGAGAGACACTGGGCGAGAGACACTGGGGGGGAGAGACACTGGGGGAGAGATACTGGGAGGGAGACACTGGGGGAGAGAGACACTGGGGGAGAGACACTGGGGGAGAGAGACACTGGGGGAGACACTGGGGGAGAGAGACACTGGGGAGAGTTACACTGGGGGAGAGACACTGGGGGAGAGACACTGGGGGAGAGAGACACTGGGGGAGAGACACTGGGGGAGAGACACTGGGAGAGAGACACTGGGAGAGAGACACTGGGGGAGAGACACTGGGAGAGACACTGGGAGAGAGACACTGGGAGAGAGACACTGGGAGAGACACTGGGGGAGAGAGACACTGGGGGAGAGAGACACTGGGGGAGAGACACTGGGGGAGAGAGACACTGGGGGAGAGAGACACTGGGAGAGAGACACTGGGGGAGAGAGACTGGGGGGGAGAGACACTGGGAGAGAGACACTGGGGGAGAGATACACTGGGGGAGAGAGACACTGGGGGAGAGAGACACTGGGGGAGAGAGACACTGGGGGAGAGAGACACTGGAGGAGAGAGACACTGGGAGAGAGACACTGGGGGAGAGACACTGGGGAGAGACACTGGGGGAGAGACACTGGGAGAGAGACACTGGGAGAGAGAGACACTGGGAGAGAGACACTGGGGGAGAGAGACACTGGGGGAGAGAGACTGGGGGAGAGAGACACTGGGGGAGAGAGACACTGGGGGAGAGAGACACTGGAGGAGAGAGACACTGGGGGAGAGAGACACTGGAGGAGAGAGACACTGGGCGAGAGAGACACTGGGGGAGAGACACTGGGAGAGAGACACTGGGGGAGAGAGACGCTGGAGGCGAGAGACACTGGGGGAGAGAGACACTGGAGGAGAGAGACACTGGGGGAGAGAGACACTGGGGGAGAGACACTGGAGGAGAGAGACAGTGGGGGAGAGACACTGGGGGACAGAGACACTGGGGGAGAGATACACTGGGAGAGAGACACTGGGAGAGAGACACTGGAGGAGAGAGACACTGGGGGAGAGACACTGGGGGACAAAGACACTGGGGGAGAGAGACACTGGGAGAGAGAGACACTGGGGGAGAGAGACACTGGGAGAGAGACACTGGGGGAGAGACACTGGAGGAGAGACACTGGGAGAGAGACACTGGGGGAGAGACACTGGGAGAGACATTGGGGGAGAGAAACACTGGAGGAGAGAGACACTGGGGGAGAGACACTGGGAGAGAGACATTGGGGTGGAGAGACACTGGGAGAGAGACACTGGGGGAGAGACACTGGGGGAGAGAGACACTGGGGGAGAGAGACACTGGGGGAGAGACACTGGGGGAGAGAGACACTGGGAGAGAGACGCTGGGGAGGGAGACACTGGGGGAGAGAGACACTGGGGAGAGAGACACTGGGGGAGAGAGACACTGGGGGAGAGACACTGGGAGAGAGACACTGGGGGAGAGAGACACTGGGGGAGAGAGACACTGGGGGAGAGACACTGGGAGAGAGACACTGGGAGAGAGACACTGGGAGAGAAAGACACTGCAGGAGAGACACTGGGGGAGAGAGACACTTGGGGAGAGAGACACTGGGGGAGAGAGACACTGGGGAGAGACACTGGGAGAGAGACACTGGGAGAGAGACACTGGGGGAGAGAAACACTGGGGGAGAGACACTGGGGGAGAGAGACACTGGGGGAGAGAGACACTGGGGGAGATACACTGGGGGAGAGAGACACTGAGGGAGAGAGATACTGGGAGAGAGACGCTGGGAGAGAGACACTGGGAGAGAGATACTGGGAGAGAGACACTGGGGGAGAGAGACACTGGGGGAGAGACACTGGGAGAGAGAGACACTGGGGGAGAGACACTGGGGGAGAGACACTGGGGGAGAGACACTGGGAGAGAGACGCTGGGGGAGAGATACACTGGGGGAGAGACACTGGGAGAGAGACACTGGGGGAGAGAGACACTGGGGGAGAGACACTGGGAGAGAGACACTGGGGGGAGAGACACTGGGAGAGAGACACTGGGAGAGAGACACTGGGGGAGAGAGACACTGGGGGAGAGAGACACTGGGGGAGAGACACTGGGGGAGAGAGACACTGGGAGAGAGACGCTGGGGGAGGGATACACTGGGGGAGAGAGACACTGGGGGAGAGAGACACTGGGGGAGAGAGACACTGGGGGAGAGACACTGGGGGAGAGAGACACTGGGGGAGAGAGACACTTGGGGAGAGAGACACTGGGGGAGAGACACTGGGAGAGAGACACTGGGAGAGAGACACTGGGGGAGAGAGACACTGGGGGAGAGAGACACTGGGGAAGAGAGACACTGGGGGAGAGAGACACTGGGGGAGAGACACTGGGAGAGAGACACTGGGAGAGAGACACTGGGGGAGAGAGACACTGGGGGAGAGACACTGGGGGAGAGAGACACTGGGGGAGAGACACTGGGGGAGAGTCACTGGGGGAGAGAGACACTGGGGGAGAGAGACACTGGGAGAAAGACGCTGGGAGAGAGACACTGGGAGAGAGATACTGGGAGAGAGACACTGGGGGAGAGAGACGCTGGGAGAGAGACACTGGGGGAGAGAGACACTGGGGAAGAGAGACACTGGGGGAGAGAGACACTGAGGGAGAGACACTGGGAGAGAGACACTGGGAGAGAGACACTGGGAGGGAGACACTGGGGGAGAGAGACACTGGGAGAGAGACACTGGAAGAGAGACACTGGGGGAGAGAGACACTTGGGGAGAGAGACACTGGGGGAGAGAGACACTGGGGGAGAGACACTGGGAGAGAGAGACACTGGGGGGAGAGACACTGGGGGAGAGACACTGCGGGAGAGAGACACTGGGAGAGAGACGCTGGGGGAGAGAGACACTGGGGGAGAGAGACACTGGGGGAGAGACACTGGGGGAGAGAGACACTGGGAGAGAGACGCTGGGGGAGAGAGACACTGGGGGAGAGAGACACTGGCGGAGAGACACTGGGGGAGAGAGACACTGGGAGAGAGACACTGGGGGAGAGAGACACTGGGGGAGAGACACTGGGGGAGAGAGACACTGGGGAGAGAGACACTGGGAGAGAGACACTGGGGGAGAGAGACACTGGGGGAGAGACACTGGGGGAGAGAGACACTGGGGGAGAGAGACACTGGGGGAGAGTCACTGGGGGAGAGAGACACTGGGGGAGAGAGACACTGGGAGAGAGACGCTGGGAGAGAGACACTGGGAGAGAGATACTGGGAGAGAGACACTGGGGGAGAGAGACGCTGGGAGAGAGACACTGGGGGAGAGAGACACTGGGGAAGAGAGACACTGGGGGAGAGAGACACTGGGGGAGAGACACTGGGAGAGAGACACTGGGAGAGAGACACTGGGGGAGAGAGACACTGGGAGAGAGACACTGGAAGAGAGACACTGGGGGAGAGAGACACTTGGGGAGAGAGACACTGGGGGAGAGAGACACTGGGGGAGAGACACTGGGAGAGAGAGGCACTGGGGGAGAGACACTGGGGGAGAGACACTGGGGGAGAGAGACACTGGGAGAGAGACGCTGGGGGAGAGAGACACTGGGGGAGAGAGACACTGGGGGAGAGACACTGGGGGAGAGAGACACTGGGAGAGAGACGCTGGGGGAGAGAGACACTGGGGGAGAGACACTGGAGGAGAGAGACACTGGGGGAGAGACACTGGGGGACAGAGACACTGGGGGAGAGAGACACTGGGAGAGAGACACCGGGGAGAGACAATGGGGGGGAGAGACACTGGGAGAGAGACACTGGGGGAGAGAGATACTGGGGGAGAGAGACACTGGGGGAGAGAGACACTGGGAGAGAGACACTGGGAGAGAGACACTGGGGGAGAGACACTGGGAGAGAGAGACACTGGGGGGGAGAGACACTGGGGGAGAGATACTGGGAGGGAGACACTGGGGGAGAGAGACACTGGGGGAGAGAGACACTGGGGGAGAGACACTGGGGGAGAGAGACACTGGGGGAGAGACACTGGGGGAGAGAGACACTGGGGAGAGAGACACTGGGGGAGAGACACTGGGGGAGAGACACTGGGGGAGAGAGACACTGGGGGAGAGACACTGGGGGAGAGACACTGGGAGAGAGACACTGGGAGAGAGACACTGGGGGAGAGACACTGGGGGAGAGACACTGG